TGGTGGGTGAGAGGATTCACCAGAGACAGAGTGGGGAACAGAACAGGCAGATCCACTGAAATACACTGCTGAGGGGAGCAGCGGGGAGAAAGGAGAGGTCTGCTGCCCTACTGGTTCTGCTCCCTGGTCGGGGGGATTGAATTTGTGCTGCAGTGGCTGTGGATAGCTTCTTAGTGCTGAGACTTAACCCCTTGCGCCACCAAGAAGGCCCTCACAATTTCTTTTAGCTAGGCTATCTCAAATTTCATGAGTGGCTTCTACCTACATACACACTACAGATATGTACATAGAGGTTGGTGGACAATTACTGGCTTTACCTACACTTCATGAAGATTATTTCAGGCCACGGAGTTCTGCAAATCCTTCCATTCCTTCGTTCAACAAATATGTGTAGAGCACCTACTGTTTACCAGGAAATATTCTAGGCAGTGGGGACATAGCAGGAAATAAAATAGACATTATTCATGTTGGTCTCAACTTATTGATAATAATGTTAATGAGATGCCTAAGGCCACTCACCTGGACACAGGTAAATTTCTGATGGATGTTTCCTCCTTTACACAGAAACTATTGTTACAGGTCAGGGAGAAGGGCACCCCAGAACTCCCAAACCTGCCCCCTCTAAATAGGTTCTGCCATCTGCCACATCAAGACAAAACATGTAAGACCTTTAATGGAAAGGAACTTTAATACAATTGCTGAACAAAGAATATAGTTTCCAAATCAAGCACCCAAGGTTACCCATTCCCTCGTGGGTAAATGTCCAGCTAACCAGGGTTGGCCCAAAGCAAGGCCCGAAAGCCTGCCACAAGTCTAAAGCACCTTCCAGTGGGGACCCACAGAAAAGAATCAGAAACAACCAGGCAAGTCTGGGAGGGAAAGAGCAAAATCAAAACCAAGATAAAAGCTGCGATTGTTAACCTCCCCATGGGTCTCTCACCCACATCTGTGTCACCCAGTCCAGGACCAGGAAGCAAGCTCAGCTTCTTCACATGTCTCTGCTCCACGTGCCTCCTCCAGGTCTCCTTCTGGCTCCATCCTGCTTCCTTCCTTCTCCAGTCTCCTCTCCAGCTTCTTCTCTGTCCTGCTCAGCTCCACCCTCCCTTGTGTGGGGCAGGGAACCTGGAACCTCCCCTTTTCCTGGGGACCACCCTTAGGATTCTTCTGATTCCAAGAGGCACTTTAGCAAAAATCATCATGAAACGGATAAAAAATGAGGCTTATTACCTATAAGATCTGGAAATGATTCAGTACCCCTCGGGCCACAGTGCAGTCAAGGGAATAGGGGGGAAAGTGCCCATGGGCCTGGGCTCCTGCTTTTATTGGGATTGAGATGGGGTGAGTTTAGGGTTTCCCAGTGATGGAGCATGGGGTGGTACCGAAGGACCCTGGAAGTTCTTCACTTTCTTGCAGGAAAGAATTCATGAGAGAGCCAGAATATCTTCAGTACATCTGCCTGTTCTGCTCCCCACTCTGCCTCTGGTGAATCCTTTCACACCCCCCCCCCCCACCTCTGTGCTGCATCCCAGCTCTTATATGCATAAATAAATAAATCTTTAAAAAAAAAAAGTAGGATTTGGGTCACCTTGCTGTGGAAGGTACATGGGCTTTTCCCACTTACTGAATGTGGTGGGATGGGCGTGGGGGGGGGGGCAGGGTGGGGGACAGCCTCAGCTGCAGCCTCTGTGCTGAATTCCTATTCTACCTCAAGAGGATCACACGTAATTGTTGAATTTAAATCATAAGAGCAGGAATTTAAATCTTGGGGAGAGATAAACGAAGGAAAAAGAATGGTGGTAAGTGCCCTATAGTGGTAATACCTGATGGGGGTATCCAAATAAGACCTCCATTAAAAATAAGTAAATAAAGTTAAAAAATAAAAAATCTGGGCCTCCCCAGTGGCGCAGCGGTTGAGCGCTGGGTTACGAAGCTGCCCGCAGCCTCTGTAGCGCCGGTTCGATCCCCAGCCACCAGGCGAGGGTCCCACATGGCACGCAGACCTCTCCTGCCACCCGCTGCTCCCCTCAACAGTGTATTTCGTCAGTCTGCCTGCTCTGCTCCCTGCTCTGGCTCTGGTGAATTCTCTCACCCTCCCACACTTCTGACTGTACCCAGTGCTTGTATAAATAAATAAATAAATCTTTAAAAAAAAATGAAAAATCAGAAAAATGGAAAAAGACACCAGTGCCAAATGATTAGATATCTAAATCAAACAGGATCTGTACAGCAGAGGCACCTCAGCAGGGGTGTGTGTAACCTGACTCTCAGCTAGGGGTGTGTCTGGCTTGTTAGTTTAAGATAGCCACCTTAGAGTTGGATGCTTAAATCATGCACTTGCATTCCAGAAGGAAAAATCAACTCTGGGAACTCACAATAGAGACCTGTTCCTGCCTTCAAGGAGTCCTCTCTGAAATGGGAGGTGTTTCGGTGAGCTAATGCCAGGTAACAAGCCAACTCAGCTGCGAGTTCACTTTCTCACGGGTAGATGGATGCCCTGGTGATTCTCTCTGTGTGGTGTTGTCTGAGGTCACTGTTATGCAGGGATGGGTTAGCTGCCTGACACCTCCGAGTCCCTGTCAGCGCAGGGCCTCAGCTACAAGCTTGTCCTATTCTAGATGGTGGCAGACGAGAAAGCAGTTCACGAAGCCCATGTGTGTGAAGCAGGAACAAGTCTTTATTATTATTTTTTTTTTAAAGATTTATTTATTTATACATATAAGAGCTGGGGTGCAGGCCAGAGGTGCAATGGGGAGGTGAGAGGATTCACCAGAGACAGAATGGGAAGGAGAACAGGCAGATTGACTGAAATACACTGCTGAGGGGAGCAGCAGGTAAGACAGGAGAGGACTGCTGCAACATGTGGGTAGCTCCCTGGCCGGCCAGGGATCAAACTTGTGCTGCATAGGCTGCAACTAGCTTCATAGTGTTGTGCTTAACCCCTTGCACCACCAGGGAGGCCCACATCTTTATTATTATTACAGCAATAGGAGACACACGGTGGCAACAGCATTATTTGTGTGGCTGGCCCAATGGGAGCAACCCCGCCCAGTGGTTCAGGCGGCAGCAGTCCTGTGCCCATGCCAGCCTGGTGGTCGCAGGCTCCTTGGGCCCCAGGCCCCCTGAGCTTCCTCCTCACCTTCCCCCTTCCCCCAGCAGCAGCAGCAAAGGCAGCAGTGCCAGCAGCAATGGCAACAGGGCAACAGTGAGAGTCCCTGCCCATCCCCAGGGCCCTGTTAGCTTTTAGCTTTATAGGATTTATAGATAAAGCCGGCACAGGGCCAAGTTTAGGCCTAGTTTACACAAGTATGTTTAGCTCATGGGAAACTGTACATCAAGGGTACATAGTATTTGCTGCTCTTGCCCAGGCTGACACATCTCAAGGCTACATGTTATCTGCTAGGCCACCTGTGCTGGAAGGTCACGGTGAAAAACAGTCTGAGAAACTCTAAGAAAATTATGTTTTCCCAGGGGCCCTACATCAAGGACACCAGTTGTGAGAAAAGAGGATTTTATTACAAGGAGTTAGGAGGAAAAATTCAAATCTGCCTCTCGGTTAAGAAAAGGAACAAGGGGCCTCCCTGGTGGCGCAAGGGGTTAAGACGCAGCACTTTGAAGCTACCCACAGCCACTGCAGCACGAGTTCGATCCCCAGCCAGGGAGCTACCCACATGGCGCAGCAGACCTCTCCTGTCTCCCCGCTGCTCCCCTCAGCAGTGTGTTTCAGTCAATCTGCCTGTTCTGCTCCCCACTATGTTTTTGGTGAATCTTCTCAAACACATACCCCTGAACCTCTGACCTGTACCCCAGCTCTTATTTTTGTATGCATAAATAAATAAATCTTTTTTAAAAATGAAGTATGGGAAAAGGACAAAGAAACGTGCACTTGGCTGAAGCTCATGGGCTAGTTATAGGGCGATTCACACATTAATTAAGAATTCATGTATGAATTGAGCATTGAGAAGCATGAAGAGGCTTTTCTTCAGAGACCTGGCTCCAGGGCACCCCAACAATGGAATGTGTTCTCCCACACAGGCATGTTTAGAATCCTGGGCAGGGGAGATTTTCTGTTGCCACATGCCTGTCGGTCACTAGCACCACATTCAGTGACTGGGGGTCAGGGATGCTAAAAGCTACACAGTGAGGAAATACGTGAATCCCCAGGCTTTTGAACCTCAGGTCAAGCATTCAGCTGGGCGATAAATCAGTTTATCCAGTTCTGAGGCCAGAACCTGCTCTGCCTATGTTAGGAGGTCCCCTTGCTGCTATCACGCCGTCTGGGGACTCTGTCTGGGGACTCATGGGGCGGACAGGCCGCCTGTGCTGTGCACCACCCTATATTCCTCACTCAGCCGCCTGGATCCATGGGGTATCGACTCCCCACAACATTATCCTCCTGTTTTCTGAAAACTGGTGAAAATCTTGCTGGGATTCACGTTATTTTGGAGGAGAGGAGAGGGTGGTGCAGATTTGTAGATGGTGCATGAACTCCTGTGGCTCACTCAGGGGTCCAGAGAGGTCCCAGTGTTAGGATGGTTGGCACTCTGGAGGCGCCCCCCTCTGCGCAGCCCCAGGGAGAAGTCCTCACCAATCTCACCCCTGATTTTGGCAGCAGTAATGCTTGCCTCCAAGAGAATGTTTTTTTAATAAGGGAAAATCTGGTGTTTTCTGGCTGTCAATCCAGCTTCTGTGACTTTCAAGCTGTGTAACCTTGGGCAAGTTCCTTCACTTGTCTATACAATAGGACTACTGTTGTATAAAGTGGGGGACTTCAGAGGGGTGGCCTCACTACTTCTGTTATGGAAATGGAATGGGGTCAGTAGGCCTGGGAAGTACCTAAATAAAAAAAGGCTCAGAGTCAGTAAGAACCTGGTCTATTTGAACTCTTGCCCCTTCCTCCAGGCTTCCCACCTGACTTGCATCCAGGTAGTTACCTGGGGAGAAAGGAGGAGCTTCAAGCAGCCCAGCTACTCCACCCCTCAGGGCTCTGGAAGGCCAGGTCGATCCTGGGCGGGGTTTTCTTGTTGCAGGTGTAGGACAGTTCAGGAGATTTCTTTGTGAAGAGTGTGACCCCAGGGGAGGGAGCCAACTGAGCTGCCCACCGAGCCACCTCCCAGATTTCCTGCAGCCAGAACCAGGTGAGGGGGTGCCTCACACCCACAGCACGCGCGGACAGATACACACGCACCCCACAGGGCCCACAGCTGGGGAAAAACAGAAACCTGGGATCAGGGAAGTGGAGAGTCAGCCAGTCTTGTCTAGGGTTAGATTTCTAGGAAACCTAGACATGACTGGCTGACTCTCCACTTCTCTGATCCCAGGCCTTTGTGGGGGGTTCTGAAGTCAAGAGTCCATCCCTGGCAGATCAGGTGGGCACCGACCTCCTCTGCTTCCTAGCACAGCGCCCACTGGGTGCCACCTCACCCTCTAGCCAGCCGGCCCCTCACCCCTTCCCTGCAGATCTGTAACTAGAACCCCCACACCCTTGCTTACCTGCGCACTCCTGCACACCTGGCCACCAGCTCCCCTCCCTCCCTCCAGCCCTCCCCACACAGTGCCACCCAACCTGAAAATGAACTTGCTAAAAGAAAGGACTTGGGCCCAGCCGGTGGTAACCAGAATTTTCTGTTCCCGTCTTGAGGCCTGTTCCCCTACCTTGGGAACAGAAGGCTGCACCTAACCCCTGGCCCCCACCAGGGGCCTTGGGGGAGGCCACTTGGCCCCTAGATCTCTAATGTCAACCGTGTCACTGCTTGGGCGCTATCCTGAGAATAAAGTGGGGGATTTCAAAGGGGTGGCCTCACTTTTTGGCTTAAGCTCTTCCCCAGAGCTGTGGTGTTGGCGCAGATTGGGGGAGACCCGGGAAGGGAAGGGAAGGGAAGGGAAGGAAGCTGAGATCTGAACTGAGACCTTGATCTTAGGAGGTGATGGCCTTGACGGGGCTGGGGCAGACACCTGCAAATCGTAGGGTGTGACCAAACTGGGCTTGGGAAAGGGGGCGGAGGGGATTCATTCTGCGCTGACTTTGCCTGATGGCGCAGTGTAGGGGGGCAGCGTGGGGTGGGGAATGGGAAGCCCCGGGAGCAGAGATGGGGCCAGCAGATCTGGAGACAGATGGGGGGGGTGTGGCTAGGAAGTTGGGACAAGGGTTCGGGCCGGGAATAGGCCGGCCAGGGATGCAGAGAAGTGGACGAGAGGGACAACATTTAAAAGAAATGCTCTGCGGATACGGGTCGCCCCGCTTTTCTGAGGTACCTGGAGGCTGGATTCTTCTTCCAAGTGGGGGCTCCTTCCTGCTCCAGTTGCCTGCTGCGACCCCGCAGTGGTGAGCCGCAGGACACCCGGATGGAGGAAGGCCCCTTGGCCTGGACTCTTGCCCTTCCCTGATAGGCCCCCTAGGCCGCGGCACGGGAGGCGGCTACAAAGGCTGAAGGCTGATAAGAGATGCACTCCCGGACCTCCGAGCCGCGGGTGGTGGCTGCAGCAGCTGGGACAGGACGGGGTGGGGCGGGGCGGTGCAGGCGCCTCCCAGTTCCCTGACTATGGGTGGGGTGGGGGGGGCCCCGGATTCTGCCCTGGCCGCGGGCCTTCTGTCAAGGGACAGCCCCTCCCAGCCCCAACTCGCTTCCCCAGCGCCCATCCCCAGGCCCAGGCCCCACCTTTGCAAAGCTTGCCGCGCACCCTCTCCCTGACCAGACTCCGGAGAGCTCTGTTTGCTCTAGTTTGCGTAGCTCTGGTTAAAATTCAGTAAGACAACGCTGGGGCGTCGGGCGGAGGGACCGAGACGGCTCATAGTTCAAACTCGATGTTGGCGAGCCATGTTTCAGGGTAACTGATCTTGGGGTCGGTGGGCTCTGGAGGCAAAGGCTGTTATTAGCCCATTTTGGGGATGACCACACTGAAGGGTCAAGGCCCATGGTCAAGGCCACAGAGTTCATCAGAGGCTGGTGACTGTACCCTACGCAGCTTCTCTCCAAACCTAAATCTTTCAGAACCTTCTAGCAAGGCTCCCCGACTCCCATACTCAGGGCTTCCCCCTGTGAGGCCCACTGCCCTCTCCTCTCTCTGCTGCCTCCCTCAGAGCCCGGGTCCCACAAAAACCCACACAACAAAACCACGATAGTCCTGATCTCTTGTGGCTGCCAGTGGGCACACAAAGACACCCTTAGGGCTGTCCGCAGAAAGGGATTTGTTGGCTCGCTCAAGTCTGGAGCAAGGTGATCTTTGGGTCCCAAGCCTTTGGGTCTTTGGCTGGTAGGGTATGTTGTGTTCTGATGGGGAGGTTCTGTGTATTCCTAGTCATTTGTGGAGAGCTGATACATATGCACCGAGTCAGGGAAGCTTTGGGTATTTCCAGGAGGGGCAGGTGGTTGTACTCAGCCAGGCGTCCTACATGTTAACAGCTTTCCATTGGGGGTGGCCACATCAGCAGGATAATTAAGGGGGGGTATGTGGACATTTAAGGCCCCAGACCCGAGTCTAGTCTGTGCAGAGCCTGGGGCCTGGATGGGGCTTTCTGTGGCTTGTCAGGAAATGGGCATCATCACTATAGCTCCTAGCAATTAACTGTTACAGGGCAACCCGGGTATGATATGGGTTGCCTGACTGTGGGTCCTCACCCACATGCTTAAAAGGGACTTATAATAAGACTCAACTGCAGGCACACACAAAAAGGTTATGTGCGGCTCACTTTCCAAGGCTGTGGGCAATACACAGGGAACAGGGGGCTGTGTCCCTCCCTTCACTGAGCTGTGTGTGTAGCCACGACAGAGACTGAGAGAGCCCCAAAGGGACTGGCTGGGGGAAAGAGAACTGAGACACAGATGGGGACTGAGCAGGGGCTAGATATGGGACAGAGAACAGAGCCTTCCTGCCTGCCTTATTTCTCACCCTCATCTCTTTCTCTCTCTCCTCTTGCCTTTCTATTCTTATCACTGCCCCATCACCCATACAGAACAACACCTTTATGTGACTATCAATAAATTTATTGATAGTATCACACAATTGTGTTTGAATCCTCAGAGAGGTGAAGACACTGGCCCAGGGTCACACAGCTAATGAATTGAGCCAGAAGTCAGCAGTCCAGGACCAGAGTGTGTGGACTTAACCACAGAGAGCTCGTCCTGGCAGAGTCACCTGGTGAAGCACATTCCTTGCGGGGCTTAGTGAAGGGACCTTGATTTCCAGAGGCCTGGAGGAAGGGACCTTATTGAGGGACTGTGAGCAATAAGGCTGATCTCATGAGCATCAGGTTAGCTGGGATGTCAAACTAATTCAGTCAACACTGCCTGCCTGGCTGCTTCCTTTCAAGCCCAAGGGGGGCTACCCTTTGGTACCACCCATGAGTCACTTCCAGTTGGGCTCAGCCTCACTGGGCCCAGTCCCCCAGCTGAGTAGGTTCAGTGCAGGTCCCGGTGTCTAGTTACCCTGAGTTGCTTCTGCAAAGGCAGTGCTCACATAATCGTAATGGGCCATAAATAATTCTAAAAGCTTCTAGCTGCATAGCTTCTGGAAACTTCCCAGGTGAATCAGATCACACCCTGCTAGATCGAGCCTCAAAGTTCCCTTCTTAATGGCCGGGTTCAATACCTGGACCCGGAAGACAAGTCTTGAACCAGGTCAACTGAAACCTTTGTATCTGATCTACCTTCTTGTAGTTTCCAGGATATGCTGTGGTTAAAGTCACCTGATGAGGAAGCATTTTCAGAAGAGTGGGTGCGAGCCTCTCAGTCACAGGAAGGACAGGGACAGTCTTTGGAAGAGTTGAAAGTAGGTTCACCTTCCCTTGGGTCCTTCCAGACGACCTCATTCCCACCACTCAGAGCTCAGTTCTGATAGTCAGCAGCCACACCTGGAGTTTGGCTGGGGCTGCATGTCACGGTCGTTGGGACACAACATTCTGTCAGTGCAGACTGCAGGATGACACATCGGTCATTTCTACAGATAATTGGACTGATTTTCTGCTTCCAGTCACCTCACGGGGGTCAGGACCAGTTCATTTCCTGCTTTCATGAACTTACAATTTCTCTGCTTATGTTCAGCACCCAGATCTTCAAAGTTACATCCTTCTTGGTGCTTTGATTTTTCCTAAGAAAGCTCAGGTTACAGCTGAATTAACTTCATCGCTCTACAAACCACAGGCTCAGGTTTTATGCCCCAGGATGGCGAATTCTCAATGTCCCTCACCTCCTCTGGCAGCACAGTGAGTCCCGCCTGTTCTCTGAAGGTCTGTCCTGGCCCATACCACTCACTCCTGGGATCGATTTCTTTTGTGTCCGGAGTTGACAAGAACAGGTTGTATATTTGCTCAAACGTAAGGGGAGTTCCTGTCATTTCTTGGCCAGGAGTAAAGTTCTCTTATAGAATTTGCACGTCTGTTCAGGAATCTTTTGGTCACTGGCTCCCTCTGCTCCAGCCTGCATGTGACCTGCCCCAGCCACTTGTGTAGTGAACGACCTGTACACCTGATGGCGACTTTTCACACTCCCTCACATGTACACACAGATAAACGGTCATGCACATACCCCCCGCCCCCCAGTGTCTGCACCTATAGCTGCTTCACCGCAGCTGCACACCTTTGGCCCTTCCCTGACCTAACCTTCCCTGCTCTCCCTCCCCTCGCAGCCATGCTCAGCTTTCAGATGCCATTCTCCTTCCCCATGGTCCACTTCATCCTCTTTGTCTTCACCGTCTCCACCATCTTTCACCTTCAGCAGCGGATAGCAACGCTCCAGTCCACACGGGAGTTACACAGGCCGGCCTCAGCAACCACCAGGAGCCCCACTAGCCACCCCCCCACAAAAAGCTCCACTAGTCCCCCAGCCAGGGGTATGTGGACGATCAATGCCATAGGGCGCCTGGGGAACCAGATGGGCGAATATGCCACGCTGTACGCCCTGGCCAAGATGAACGGGCGGCCCGCCTTCATCCCCTCCCAGATGCACCGCACGCTGGCGCCCATCTTCAGGATCAGCCTGCCGGTCCTGCACGACTCCACGGCCAGCAGCATCCCCTGGCGGAACTACCACCTGAATGACTGGATGGAGGAGCAGTACCGCCACATCCAGGGCGACTACGTGCGCCTCACCGGCTACCCCTGCTCCTGGACCTTCTACCACCACCTCCACGACGAGATCCTCCGCGAGTTCACCCTGCACGACCACGTGCGGGAGGAGGCGCAGCGGTTCCTGCGCGGCCTGCGGGTGAACGGCAGCCGGCCCAGCACCTTCGTGGGGGTCCACGTGCGCCGTGGGGACTACGTGCATGTCATGCCCAATGTGTGGAAGGGCGTGGTGGCGGATCGGCATTACCTAGAGCAGGCCCTGGACTGGTTCCGGACTCGCTACAGCTCCCCCATCTTTGTGGTGTCCAGCAACGGCATGGCCTGGTGTCAGCAGAACATCGATGCCTCTCGGGGGGATGTGGTGTTTGCTGGCAATGGCAATGAGGGCTCGCCTGCCAAGGACTTTGCGTTGCTCACGCAGTGTAACCACACCATCATGACCATTGGGACGTTTGGGATCTGGGCCGCCTACCTGGCAGGTGGAGAGACCATCTATCTGGCCAATTATACCCTGCCAGACTCTCCCTTCCTCAAACTCTTTAAGCCAGAGGCAGCCTTCCTGCCGGAGTGGACTGGGATCGCAGCAGACCTGTCCCCACTGCTCAAGCACTGACCGGAACCATCCTCAGCAACCCCTCCTTTTCTGGCTCCACCAAAACACAAGGAATACCTTGTCACATCACCAGAACCCTTCCCTCTTGCAAGCAGAAGGCTTCGGGCTGCAAGTCACACAAGCCCCTCTAATTTATCTAAATAACATTGACGTGTTTTGCACAATACGACCAGAAGGGCGCATCTCCAAAGCTAGTTAATTTAGCAACTCAACAGTATTGAGTGACCCCAGTCTCCCCCATCTTGATCGCCGTCTTCTCTTATGGTCTCCAGAGGGCTCCCTCCTGGTCCCCAGAGGGCTGGCAGAGCCCCGGGTGGCACATGTGGACACTCTCTTTCCAAGGCAGTGGAGATTATTCTTATCTTGGGTCCCTTTAAAGACTAAGGGGAACCTTCCAAAGCCCTGCAGAAACTTCCCCTCTATGTCCTTGACAGAGGTGTGTTGCATGCCCTTGTCGTGCTTCATGAAGCAACGCAGATGAGACTGAGATTGGCTTCGTTTCAGATCCACAAATCTTTGGCCCCCACAACTGGGGAGCTGACCAGCCTCTGGCAGGATATGGTAATTCACATTTAAAAACATACCAGCAAACAAACCTGGATGCTGTTACCAAGTAACACAAGCCCCACTTATTTATTTAAATAACATTCATGTGTTTTGCCCAGTAAGGCCAGAAGGGCACATCTCCAAAGCTAGTTAATTTAGCAACTCAACAACATTGTTAGTGACCCCAGTCTCCCCGATCTTGATTGCTGTCTTCTCTCAGATTAGCTCCCTCATGGTCCTGAGAGGACTGGCAGAGCCCCGGGTGATTATGCCATTGCCCAGAAATGGCAGCGGAGTACAAAACCTGGAAGCTCTGATTTGTACAGGTCGGTCACTACACAAGGGCAGCAGACCACGGAGGAAAATTGAGGCTGACGTAGAGCCCACAGTCCACCCTCCAAGTCATGTATCCTTGGGACTACTCCACCCAGAGGGCTCACTATTTGCTAGCCAGGAGATCTTTATTTCCTGTTTTCTTAAAAGCACCGTGTCGGTTAGTGCCTGGTGTACGTCCAAGACCATAACCCTTACCTCTGCAGCTCTGGCTTCCTAGGAACTGGGGTGTGTATTGTTGAGATCGCAGGTGTTGAGATCACCACCCTGGCTCAGTGACCTTGAGAAGCCATTCATTCTCTCAGGAAATGTGTGCAGCACTGAACCTCACATATAGGATCCCTGCTCCTAAGGGCTCTATTAACAAGCCACCCAGAACATAGCAGCTTATAATTGTAATGATGTATTTCCTGCAATTCTGCGGGTAAGTAGGTGCTTCTCTGCTACATGCAATGTTGACTGAATTGGTGGAGCTCAGTTGGCGCATCTGCAACTACGTGGCCTGCCCAGCAGGCCTTGGGCTTGGCTTCCTCAACAACATGGCTTTCAACTTATTTGCTAGAATACTCTGTCATCACTGAGATGTGAGAAGTCCAACTCTCTGGTGTAAGGAAGTTCTCCTGTGAGAAAGCGCAAGCCCGCTGAGGTCATGTGTAGGTGCTCAGATGAATGGACTGAGCTGAGGTCAACTTCCAGCCCAGCCAAGAGATATATGAGGGAAGAATGCTGCAGATGTTTCTGCAGGTGTTCAATTAAAGTGATGTTCCAGCTGAGGCTCCTCAGTGAGCAGCAGCATCTGAGCTGATTCAGAGATTTTTGGGAGCATAATAATATGATTATTTAATGCCATTGAGTTTGGGGGTAGTCAGCTATGCAACCATGAATAACTACAACAAAGAAAATAAATTATTCTCTGCATTTACAGAAACTTTCATGGCTTTGACGTGAATGAGGCCAACATGAACTTCCCCATGTGACTTGAGATCCATCATGCAAAGGCCCTGTGGCATGAGTTATGTAGTTACATATGGGAGTTACACATGAGATATGTAGTTACACATGGGAGCGTATCCATGGCTGGAGCACATGGACCCAGAGGAAGGTGGAGAAGTTAACAGGGTCAGATGGTGAAAGGCCCTGTGGATCATGACAAGGACTTTGCATTATCTTCCAGGACTAATGTGAGGCCTTTAGAGGTTCTTAATCAGGAAGTGACATGACCTGGTTTTCTGTGTCTGTTATGTGTTGAAAGGGCTGTAGGGGTAAGGATGCAGGTGAAGAGGACAGCGAGAAGATACTCTGTTATTCCCAGGAAGCAATGATGGTAGATCAAGGAGCTAAGTGGGGGCCTGCTTGTGGATGCAAGGGGTTAAGTCTCAGCACCGTGAAGCTATTCACAGCCACTGCAGCATGAGTTCTATCCCCGGCCTGCCAGGGAGCTACCCACACAGCACAGCAGACCTCTCCTGTCTCCCCGCTACTCCCCGCAGCAGTGTATTTCAGTAGATTTGCCTGTTCTGCTCCCCATTCTGTCTCCGGTGAACCCTCTCACCTCTTACACCTCTGGCCTATAGTCCAGTTCTTGTATGCATAAAAAAATCTTTATTTAAAAAATTCTGTTGGCGCGCAGACCTCTCCTGCCGCCCGCTGCTCCCCTCAGCAGTGTCCTTCGGTCCTTCTGCCTGCTCTGCTCCCCGCTCTGGCTCTGGTGAATTCTCTCACCCTCCGCGCTTCTGACTGTACCCAGTGCTTGTGTAAATAAATAAATAAATCTTTAAAAAAAATTCTGTTACTCAATCACTCTTGCCATATTTCACAAGCCCAGTAGACACATGTAGTGAGTGGCTACCATTCTGGACAGTCTGGATAAGACACCATTTCCATCAATGAGAGTGGGTTAAAAGGGGCTCAACCAGGAAGAAACTGATCAGGATAAGGAGACTGTAAAGTTACAGGAATTTACTGTACGAGCAGCAGGCTGCAGGGACTTCCTCCCTGAACACGTGTAGTTTCGTTTTTATTTATTTTATTTATGCATACAAGAGCTGGGTTGTAGGAGAGAGGTATGGGGGGTGACAGGATTCACCAAGGACAGAGTAGGGAGCAGAACAGGCAGACCTTACAAAATACACTGCTGAGGTGAGCAGCAGGGAGACTGGAGAGGTCTGCTGCTGGCTGGGGGTAGAACTTGTGCTGCAGTGGCTAGCAATAGCTTGATAGTGCTGAGACTTAACCCCTGTGCCACCAGGAAGGCCCTGTCATTTCGCTTTTATGAACAAGGTGTCGTGGAGGAGGCTTGGTCTGGCAGGTGGCCCTGCTGGGAGGCTCCTTTTTGTGCAGGGGCAGTGGCACAGTAAGACTTCTCCTGCTCTGTGTTCATTAGTATTTGAAATCTCTGCCCTAGAGGGTGTCATTTCCATGCCAATGAAGACCTGGTACTCTGCATCATCTCCCCCTCCTCCACTCTGCCCCTTTTGGACTTCTTTATCTACAACCACAAGATTACCTTGTAGTTGAAGAACAGCTTGTGAAAGGAGATATTATTTTTAAAGATTTATTTTTATTTATGCATACAAGAATTGGGTTGTAGGCCAGAGGTGCTGGAGGTGAGAGGATTCACCAGAGACAGAGTGGGGAGCAGAACAGGCAGATCCACTGAAATCCACTGCTGAGGGGAGCAGCGAGGAGACAGGAGAGGTCTGCTGCGACATGTGGGTAGCTCCCTGGCCAGGGATCGAACTCAGGCTGTGATAGCTACTAGACTTAATCGCTGCGCCACCAGGGAGGTACGGGATTTCTACCAGTGAAGTCCTGTAACTTGACAGTCTCCTTACCCTGATCTGTTTCTTCCTGATCGGGCCACTTTTAACACACTCTCATTGTGGGAAATGGTGCCCATCCAGACTGTCCAAACTGGTAGCCACTCACCACATGTAGCTGCTGGGCATGTGAAATATGGCAAGAATGATTGAGAAACTGAATTTTTTTATTGACTGACATTTGCTCTCCTTTAAATGCCATTGACCCACATGGCTGGTAGCTGCCATCTTGGATAGTACTGGACCAGAGGTTTGTATTTTTTTAAAGATTTATTTATACATACAAGAACGGGGGTACAGGCCAGAGGTGTGTGTGGTGGGGGGTGGGTGAGAGGATTCACCAGAGACAGAGTGGGGAACAGAACAGGCAGACTGACTGAAATACACTGCTGAGAGGAGCAGCAGACGAGTCAGGAGAGGTCTGCTGCTCCCTGTTGGTAGCTCCCTGGCCGGCCGGGGCTCGAACTCATGCTGCAGAGGCTGTACAGCTTCATAGGTTGCGTCTTAACTCCTTGCACCACCAGGGAGGCCCTGGACTAGAGGTTTTAAGAACAGATAAATGAGACTTATTGGTGGCACAGGGGTTAAAGTCTCAGTACTACAAACTATTACCAGCCACTGCAGCATGAGTTAGATCCCTGAGTTCAATCCCCCAGCCAGGGAGCTGACCCAGATGGCACAGCAGACCTCTCCTGTCTCGCCCGCTGCTCCCCTCAGCAGTGTATTTCAGTGGATCTACCTGTTCTGCTCACTACTCTGTCTCTGGTAAATCCCTAGCACCTCTAGCCTATATCCCAGTTCTTGTATGCATAAACTAATAAAAATAAATTTTAAAACCAGTTCTATATTAGATTATCTATCAGGTGTCTTGTGCGCCTGCATGAAAGAGCCAAGGATCAGGGTGGGCTCCCTGGCTGGGGATCAAACTCAGGCTGCAGTGGCTAACAGTAGTTTGATAGAGCTGAAACTTTAACCCCTGCCCCACCCAGGAGGCCCTAGTGTAGAATTTGATGTCCAGCAAACACAGTAGTTGCATCTGCTATTATTCTGAATCTTGGACCTTCTATAACTTTAGTTACCATTTCCATACTTCAGATTTTTTTTTAATTAATTGCAGACAGAGTAAAGAAAGCTAGTTGGGTCCATGTGCTCTGGATACTTTTGATCTTCGACGTATCCAATACAACTGTCCTAAGGGCGTAGAAGGGTTGGAAGGTAAATGGAGACAGAGGAAGTCCCACCACAAGCTTTCCTGCTGTTTCCTGTGCCCCTCTCCCACCAGTTTTCAGCCTGACATTGAAGTTTCTGCAGCCCAGTTCTGAGGTCACCTCACCAGCCCCACCACTCACTTTTGCTCCAGTACCCCAAACTCACACCTGCAGGCCCTTGCAGGTAGGTTCTCTGTCTCTCCGACCACTCTGTCCCATTCCTCCAGCTTCTGGGACTTTCTAGAAGTCATGGCCTCCCAATCTCTTTTACCACTTGAAAATACACATCACTCTGCCCTGGGACGCTCTCACTGCAAATGCATGACCTTCGCCAGAGCAGAGGTTGAGTTTCTTTGTTTTTTCAACTCTGAAGACACAGACTGTAGACTCTGATGCATTGGGTTCAGCCCTTATTCCAACATCTCCTTTCTGCAGAAGACCGAACCTATCACTCCCTGTCTCTCGCCTCCCATGATCTCATCTGGGAAGAGAGGATGACAAATCCTTGCATAGGCTTGTCTTGGCTTCCGGTCTGGCCCACTTGTCCCCTACTTTCCCTTCTCATCCTGGCTCTTGCGTGTCCACCAGAGTTTGCACACACAGAGGCACCAGAATTGTTAACCAGCAGCTATAATGGTGATTCATGGACCAGGACACCTCATAGGCGCCGCTGCGGGCCATCTTAACACACTCTCATTCACAATGAGCTGTGGGTACAGAAGAGGACCGTGACAACAAGTTAAGGGGCGATCACTGGCTCTAAGTCCTGCTTTATATTCCTGAACTGCTATTCTTTTCTTCCTCGACATTCTTGGGGGCCTACCCAGATCCACTCAGATTCCTTTCATCAGTCCTCTGCACCCAGGCCCCAACTTCAGAGTTCTCTGTGTATGCGTCATGCCTTTTTATTTTCTCTATTCCTGGTGCTTTGATGGCTGGAGTCTAGCTGACTTTGGAGGAATAGTCCCTCCCAATTCCTACAGATGCTAAAGGGCTCGCTTGTGAGCATGCCTTTCACATGAAAACCGTCCAATCCAGAGACCCCCACCACTTCCTCTGTGGAGCTTATACTCCAGGCCACTATCCCTCTGCCTAATCACCCAGCGGCCAGGGCTCAGACAACTAGGAGCAGCCCCCATGTCTCAGAACCTGCTGAAATTATTCAAACTAGACAGTACCAAGCCAGCTGAGCCCACCTCCTCCATTCCTTCCTGTGGAAACCACAACGAAAACTCTAATGCCCAGTTCCCCTCTCTCCTTGGCCTCGTGACTGACCCTGATGCTTCCCCGTATGGCCCGCCTGGGTGGTGTGCTTACGCCCTCTTGGGATCTGTGAGTATAACAAGCTGTCTTTTTAATGGCAGTTGACTCCTAATCTGTTGGTCTCACCATACCTGAGTTATAAAGAAACCTACATTTTAAAAAACCCTTTGCTTTATTTTGTGACCTTCTTCCTTGGGCCCAAAGTGTCCCATCCCCACTGTGACTCCTGGCCCATGACAGACTGGAGGGGTGTAGTGGCAAGTCTCCAAATATGGCCCCAGTGACCATGCCCCTGATATTCACACCTCTGTGTACCTCCATATTTAACGTGGGCTGGCCTGACTTGATTCACCAAGAGAATGAGGTAGAAATGAGACTGTGCCAGTTCCAAGCTTAGTCTTTAAGAGACTGGCCATTTCTGCTTTCTGCCCTGGGAATGCTCACTTTGGGAGCCCTGAGCTACCAGCTGCCCTGTGGGAGAGACCACACGGAGAGAGAGCACTGAGAAAGAGAAAACTAGACTGGCCCATTTGGGCCCAGGCTACTGTGGGCCCCAACTCAGGGACCAGACACATTGGGCCGCGTTGTTCTAGCTCAGCAGGGTCCCCAGATGACCTCAGTCCTAACTGATATCACAGGAGCTGGAGAACTGCTTGCTGAGCACAGACAACCCAAGGAATTGTGAGTGGTAGTGGTTATTGTTTGAAGATTCCAAATTTTAGGACAGCTTGTCATTCAGCAATAATAAGCCCAAACAGGGATCCTCCTTTACCTCCTGGTGCAACTTGATCCTCCAGAGCACCCATCAGGATGCTGGGACTTCACCCAACATTACACTCTTATCCATCCTCCTCTTCACTGTCCTGTTCCCTCCACTGCCTTATCGGTCTCTCCTAGGAGCATTTCTTTTCTGTACTAAATCGTGGGCACATGAATTTTGCCTCAGCCTTTGCTTCCAAGAGAAACTGACCTTGGACCGGAAGCCAGTTGTCTGGCTCCCTATTCTCCCTCCCACTCTTCCAAGCCCCTCTTCTGAATCCAAAACAGATAGACCACTTTCCAGATTCCCAAGCAATAGGCAACGGTCAGTGGGGTGGGGGGATGAAGGTGGGAACAAAAACATCTGCAAGGACTCTGAAGGAAGCAGCAAGCAGCTTGTTTGCTCAGGTCAGCAGCAAATGAGACCTCCCTGCCCCCACCCACACAAAATGGAGGGAGTCCCATGGAGATCAGGCAGGCAAAGCAAGTGGCCTGTCAGCAGCAGTTCAGGGGCCAAGTGGGGATGAGGGTACTCGCTGACTCTGGTGGGAGGGGATCTGCTGGTCATTCCACCCCACCCCTCAGGGAGCCTCTTTATGTGGCCTCCACCCCCACCAGTTCTCAGTCCCTGGAAACCCCAGAAATCCATCACCACGGATCCTCCAGCAGGTCCCACAGCCTAGTGCTACTAGAGTCAGATAAGTCAGCAGAGAAGATACTGGGACCTGGGGGGCCACAGTCCAGCGGGGGACCTCCACTCAGAGCCTCCAGCCAGTCCAAGGAGTCAGTGGGGGCCCTGGGAGAGGGGCACGGAGAGTTCGAGGGGGAGGGGAGCGAGGACGAGAAGACAGATGAGAGGCCTTCAGAATCCTGCGAGGGAGACAGCACGTCGAAGGGGCCAGGGAAGTCCAGAGGGATGGGGGGCAGTGGGTCTGCAGGGGAAGGAACGGAGTGTGAGCTAAGAAGGCAGGGATGCGGACCCCAGGCCCCTATTCTTCATTTCCGGGAGTTCAGGACCCAAGCCCACGCCTCCTTCGGAGCCTGGAGTCAAAACTCTGCCCCCCAACCCCTTCGACCCCAGGGACCCAAAATCTAGGCGTTCGACTCACCGTCTGGCTCCACCTCCAGGATGTCGTCGATGCTTCGGTTCGGAAGCAACTACGGACGGACGGGCAGAAGCGGGGTGAACCTGGGGCGCCGGCCCCGATTCTAATCGGAGCTCTAATCGGATTCTAACCTCAGCCCGCTCGCTCCCTCTCACCTGCGCCCTGCGGATCGCCTCCTGCAGCTCCTCCTCCAGAGTCAGGCCCACAGCGGCTGGTGCTGAGGAAGGGGCCAGCGATGGCGCTGGAGTCGCAGCCTCGGCCGGAACCCGGCCTGGAGCTGACGCTAGGGCTTCCGCGGCACGTGGACGAGGCGGCGAGCGAGATGCTGGACTCGGCTTGCGCTGGAACCGCGAAGGCAAGTCCCTATAAACCACGCCCACTGGGCGCAGCCCCTCCCACTCGCGATCCGTGGCCCCACCCCCTGCCTTCCGGTTCAGGCCTTTCGCTCACCAACCCCGCCTCCTTCGGCCCCGCCCCCTATTCTTTCATTGGCTCCTCTTCCCTTAAGACCCCGCCCCTCGCCCTAGACCGCGCCCCTCTGTACTTTGGCTGCCTTCCATCGCCTTCCCACCCCGTTCCGCGGCGTCTTCTCCGCTTTAGGCCACACGCGAGGGGCCCCGCCCTCACCGAACCCTGCCGTCGGGCGGCTCCCAGGGCCTTGGGCCTGAGTCGCGGCCAAGGACCACCCGCAGGACTGCCCTCACGCCGCGACTTCGGCCGCTCGCGGGGCGGGACGCCGCCGCGCATGCGCTCCAGGAGCATCGACTTGGTCCCCGACACCGGGAGGCCCCGCAGGCGCAGCTGCTGCCGGAGCTCTGAGACCTGGGGTAGGGGGCGGGGAGAGGCCGTGCTGGGCTGGCTCCGGGGCCAGACGGGGACTGGACATTTGGAAACCGAGAGAGAAGGGGCGGGGAACCCCACCACTGATCTCCGATGGGACAGAGGCTGCAGGGTTCGACGACTGGACCCCACCGAGAAAGAGGGGCTAGGCTGGGAGGCTGATCCCCAAACTCACCGTCAGCTCCTCCAGTTTAAGGGTCTGAAGTTCCAGCTTGTGTGGAGGGGGCGAGGGGCTGGGGACGCCTGGTGGGGAGGGCGTGAGGGGAGTGGGCTTCATCCTGCCGATAGGCAGAGGGAGACAGGTTAGTAGGGACAGGGAAAAGGCACTCTGCCCTCAAAGGTAGGAACGCCAAGATTCAGGAAAGTGAGAGCCCAGAGTTCTGGTCGCCACAGGAGCAAACCAGAAGGCTAGTTCCTGGGCTTCGGAGAGGAGGAGCTAGGGGCTCACTGTTGAGTCTGAGCCCAGGGTTCCTGGGAACTGTAGAGAGAGGGACTGGGGCCCTGGACTTTTGAGTCCCAGGGCAGGAGGACCACCTTCCCAGGTCATAGACTCTAGGTTTGAGGGAAGAGGATGCTGGGAATGTGAACTTCCCATAGAACAGAAAATGGGGATCATACCTAGGACGCGGGTGCTGTGACTTTGCCCCTTCCCACAGAGGTTGCCCGGGGGGGCCCAGGGCTGATCCTTGGGCCTGGGACTCTGCTCTGGGCCCTTGTCTTGTCTCTGGGGGCATGTACTGGTGGTATGTCAAGTTTCCCTCAAGCGTGGGCTCCCTCCAATGTCGGGAGTTCTTGGGAGACTCCTGGAAAAGCAGGCGTGATGTCTTAGCTTCCAGCTCTGCTCCCCTTTGCTGCCCCAAAGCCTCATGCAACCTACGGAATCAGCTTGGCACTTCCAGAGAGAAGCAAAAAGGGCGGCAGCAAGGAAGACCCAAGCTAGACTCTCAGGAGGCCTTCCCCTCACTCCAGTGGAGACTCACCTTCTTCAGGGACTTCCAAGGGCAGTATTCTGGCTCAGGGAGCAGGACCCCAGGGCTGAAGAGGAAAGGGGCAGGGCCCGAGGACGAGGCCGGAGCTGGGGCCAGAGCCGGGCCTGAGGCTGAGATCCATGGATCTGGATTTGAGGCTGGAGAGGAGCTGAAGGACCCTGAGAGGCCTGCAAGCAGCAAACCAGGCAGGGGATGTGGGTTACCAGGTTTCTGGGGAAGAAGACCCTGAGGCCCCAGCCCCCACGATGTGGGAGGCCCAGGCTGCAAAACCCCAGTCATGGGACCCAATGCCAAGACTCCTAGATGAAGGACAGATGTGTAGAGACTGGGACGTCTGACTCCAGAGATCTAGCTTCATACATTTCACATCTTACATTTCAGTGGGAGAAGCTGAGGGGGAAAAGTAGAGCTCCTAGGAGAGGCGGGGGGTGGGGTGGGGGAGAACTATACTCCTGGGGCCTCTGGAAAGGACAGATGGGATAGGATTTCAATGTAAAGCAGGGCCTAGGGACTGAGACTGGGAACCAACACAGGCTATCTGTTGGCTCTCCAGGGGGCCTCAGGGGAGTGGGGCCGCCCTCCCCTCCCTGGCAGGGCCCACACTTACTAGGGTCCTGATACCTTCTGTGGATCCGAAGCTGGAGGACTGTGGAGGGATGAGAGAAGTGGGAGGAGAAGGCGGGAAGGGAGTGTCCAGGAGCCTGGCCTGGCAGGCGTAGTGAGCTGCAGTTGTTGGCGGGACACATGTGCCCAGCCCCCTTACACACCCAGAGCAGGCAGTGGGCAGGCAGCCCACTCCCTTTCCCGGGCCTCCCAGCTGCTCCTGCCAGCACTACGCCAGGGCCAGAGATGTTCTGGGGCTAGAAGCCAGCCAGTCTTCAGGCAGGAGGCAGCCCTGCCCCCAGCACCACCTGCCCCCTGCACCAGCCTGTGCCCACCCCACTCTGCACAATCGCCATCTTGGCAGCCTGGCCCATTTAAACCTTGTCTCTCTTTATCTGGGCACCCCGCTTAGCACCCACTTACTCCCTTTTGTGCTACCTCTGGGCCTCCCCGTAGTAATTGCCTCCTGCACTCCCACCTTTTACATATTCAAGTCTCTAGCTCTAGTTTTGCCTGTGTGCTACTTTCGTGCACTTGTGCCCTCAATAGGGTTCACCCTTGGCTCACTCTCTTTCCACCCACCCTGCCACATTAACACACTCATTTGCACACTCAGGATTTGGCCCCTAGCTGTGAAGCAAGGCTCTCTCTGTATGTACTTCCGCTCTTTGAATGCATGCACACTCTTTGCTCCAGGGTGACTGGTGTCTGTGCACCCCCAACCATGTAAGCACGCTCATTTACGCAGTCAAGGACCCTTTGCTTCTTCGGGAATTGACCTCCATTTCTATCTACTGACACACTTTTTCTACCTGCATTGAGACCTAAAATAAAACCTTGGATGCTTGAAAGGCTTTGTGGTCCCCTCATGCACACCCCCACACTGGTCAATGCCAAGTCCCTGCTCTGGGTGCTTCTCCACTTTGCACATCTGTCCACTTAAACCCCTGTTCTTCTGCAGTGTCTGACCCTCTGCACACCTGCCCCTCGCCATCCACTCCTCACACACAACTCGCCCCCTTCGCTGGGGCCACCTTTATGCACCAGTGACCTTTTGTCTAGAAACACATGCCTCCCACAGCGACCATACCCCTCCACACATGCCTCCCCCTGCCACCGTATCCCTCCATGCATGCTCTGCAAATTAGAGTATCCCAGGACCCCAAGTATCCCTTCCCTACAAGCAGAGAAGTCTCTCACCAGATCGGAATTTGGAGCGAATGATTTGGGAGCGCTGGGAGGAAGCCACCAGGGTCATTGCCAAGGCTGGAATGGGGACCTGGACTGGGAGAGGGGAGGGTCCCCATAGGAGGCAGCGTCAGAGTGGAGGTCAGGAGGTTGTCCCCTCATGCAAATGAAGCAGGGAAAGGGCCTGAGGACATTAGCGGTAGGAGAGGCCTTGGGAACTAATGCTGCATTCTGGGGAAGGAGGGGCCTGGAGGCCCAGACTCCTGGGTTAGAGAGAGAATGGGGTTAGGGAGCCAGCTACTGGTTCTGAGGGAGGAGGGGCTGAAGGCCCCAACTCCTGGACCTTGGGAGAGGAGGGATCTGGGGCCTCTGGGTTATGAGGAGGCCGGGAGCCAGGAAAGGAGCAGAAGAAGATGGTGGTGAAAGGCCAGAACGCAATCATTCCAGAGTACTAGATTCCTACATCCTTGATCTAGGGGAGTAAGGGGAGTTGACAGATCCCTGGAAAATAAGGGTCTCTGCCTCCTGCATTGGAGAAGGGAGTGGGTGAGGTGTCAGCAACGAAGGTTTCAAGGGGAAGGAAACGGGACCAGAGGTGATGGAAGAGTTAGGGCAGGGCGGGTCTCCCCTACCCCTCTATCCCTGGGGCTCTCACCTGGTGGGTCTGCGCAGCGGGGCTCTGGGCGGACCGAGTCCAGAGGTCTGGGCTGGAGGTCGTTGGCTCCGCCCTACCCGCCTTGGACCGCCTCAGACCCCCCTTTCTGGGGCGTGCTGGGAGCCCGTGGAGCAGGGCGGGCGGGCCGGGAGCCCCGCCTGGGACCCTGAGAAGGGGCGGGAGCAGCATCTGGGCGGGACAGGGGCGGGGCGGGCGTTGGGGTTCCCTGGCTCGCTCCTCCTCCGCGCCCGCCCCGGGCTGCGGGAACCGGCCGTAGCTGCACGCGGAATGACAGCAGCAGGTGCGGGGAGAGGGGCGCGGGGTGAGCAGCAGCGGCAGGTGATCGCGTCCCGGCCCCGCACGCAGGTGCCACCTGTCGCTTACTTTTTCCCTGACGCAGCAACAGGAGTCAGATTCGGGGAAGTGAAAAGTTCTTACTGGAGCCCCGATTTCTGGATCTGGGGGAGGAGAGAACTGGGAACCTGGATTCCTGGTTTTGAAGCAAAAGGGGCAGAAGCCCGCGAGGAGGGGGTTGATGCCGGACTTCCAGTGTGCGGGAGGAGGGATGCTAGGAACAAGGATGAAAGGTGGTGGGGTGCTATATTGTGCCGGACAGGCAAAAAGGTCCAGAAGGGTCTGAAATCCAGACTCCTGAGTCTGAGGGAGGAGGGGGCTGGAGAATGGACTTTTGGGGTCAAAGGGAGAGTTGGCTGGTTCCCACCGGCAGAACTGAGGGCCCGATCACCAGCAGAGCATGCTTAGAGCTCTGACCTGGAGGCGCGAGGTGGCCCAGTGCTCCTGGGTTGGGTTACAGGCAAGAGGACACGATGAGGCCATGGCTATAAATACCTCCTTGGAGTCGGCAAGAGCCCAATGCTCTAGGCAGGGGCCCTGCTGATTTATTACCCAGAAAATCGTATCACTAGCTCTCCGGAGTCTTGAAAAAATGAGGTGCTGTCAATACCACAGAGACCTTTATTGCTCCTGTCGCTCAAATCCCAAGCCCCTCTACCCACCATCCCATCCTCCGCCACCCGAAAACTCAAACTCCCAGCATTCCGCGCGGGGAGAGAACTACAACTCCCGGAAAACTCTGCGCTCTGGCGGGCTCCAGTGAGCCGAAGCCCAAGAATTTTCAAGGTTCGCGCGCTCGCTTGTAATTGGCTTTCAGGGAGGCGTGGCCACGGGAGGTCCGTGACGGTGATTGGCCGGCAGTTCCTGCTGCTCAAGATCCCAGAGGAGGCGTCGGAGCCTGCGCAGTTCACGGTGCAGAGCGTCGTCGGTCACGGGACCCGTGAGGCGCAGGCGGGAGCTGCCCAGGGGCAGGATGAGGGGAGGGTGAGAAGAGAAGTTTTCGAAGATATCCCCTGTGAGACCGAAGGAGACAGAATGAAATCCTGAAAATGAGCGCGAGGCGGGAGGAGTGTCGGGGAGAAGCCGAGGCTGCATCCTTCCCAAGGAGAAGAAAAACGTCAACCCCAAACACCTCCTGGCGAGAGCGCGTCGTGGAAATCTGATCTGTGAAGGCCACGGTTGCCTGGGAAACAGGTATGTAGCTGGGTTCTCGCTTGTGTTAGGGAGAAAATGGAAGGCAGCGGGAGGAACCTGGTCTCCTAGGTGAGAGAGGTGAGTTTACCACTGGAGGAGACTGGGCGCTTGCACCCTGGCGGGAAAAGCGAGTTGGCAGCATCGACCCCTGTACCCTGGGGTCGATGGGGACTGGCGCACGGAGGGCCTGGGGGAGGACGGGGTTAGGGGTCCGCCTCAGGAGAAGCGAGGGGCCGGAGGGCCTGGATTCCTAGGTTGTGAGGACAGGAGAAAGCTGACAGCCCAACGCCGGCGTCCCCATGTCTCCTCACCTGTGTCCACAGCATCTCGCTCTGCAGGGGGAGGATCCCAGGCAGGTGGTGGCCCGCGCCCAGGACCCAGCTGGTAGTGGCTGAGTAGATGGTGGAGCTGTGCAGGGGTCAGTGTGGGGTGATCAGTTCGTAAGCTGCTCCATGAAGCCTGGTGGGGAAAAAGGGGGCAAGGCCACGGTCGCTATGGGGCAGCCGAGCAATCCTAAGTGGAAGGTCCTCCATAAAGGGAGTGGCTTTAGTGCTGGACAGTGGAGTCTGCGATGCCTTTTGGACATTGGGAGGCCTGGTTGTCACCAAAGTGATGGTGAGGAAGGACTTGCTCTCAGCTTTAAAAAATGTATATTTGTGGGCCTCCCTGGTGGCGCAAGAGGTTGAGCACTGCACTGTGGAGCAGTCCACAGCCACTGCAGCACGAATTTGATCCCCCGGTGGGCCAGGGAGAAACCCACATGGCGAGGCAGACCTCTCCTGTCTCGCCTCAGCAGTGCATTTCAGTAGATCTGCCTGTTCTGCTCCCCACTCTGTCTCTGGTGGATCCTCTCACCCCCCACATCTCTGGCCTGTACCCCAGCTCTTGTATGCATAGACAAATAAATCTCTAAAAAAAATGTGTATTTGCTTCAGAACAAATGAAAACAGAAGAGTAGGCGGGGCAGAGAACCAAACAGGCCATTCATTTATATTGTTGAAGCTGGTGTGACGTTGTCACTGCTTTTTATATTTGAAATTTTCTATGCTGAATCTGGCTGACCTCAGAACCATTGGTGAGGTTTAAAATCAGACTCTGGACCCAGATTACCTACATTCAAAAACCCCAACTTGGTACTTACTATCTTCTGGTCACTGTGCCTCAAGTTCTTCACCTGCTAAGTGGGGGAGAACAGGAGCTATCCCCTAGAGTTGTTATGTGGGTTCTATTGGGCTGTTGGCAAAGTCATAATTCATTTTTGCTTGAAAAACATAGAGAAAAGACATCATAACTTTTCTGACAACCCAATATATGACAAGATTGTTTAGCACTGAGAACACTGCCTGGTACTTATTAATGCACTGTAAAAATTTGGTAAGTGAAAATAGATGAAGCTGTGACCTATCTTAACTGATTCTTGGCTTCCTCGTCTGAACAAAAAAAAATCCTCCGTCACCTACCCCATGGGGCTTTGTCAACATTCACTGCATCTGGCATATAGTTTGTGTTCAGTGACCATGAACCTATCACTTTCCTGGATCTCATACCAAACATCCTAAATCAACATAGTCACATCAAGATTCAGATGCAGCCAGTGGTAGACACTATCATTGCTGACTTTCTTGTAGCCTCCAACGCATAGTGTGTGCCTGGGACTGGGGATAACATGGAGTCCAAGGGGAGGTTGGACAGGCAAACTGAATACAGATGATGGCTGAGTGCATTGGGGAGCCAGAGGTCAGGGGTCAGGAATCACCTTGAGCAGGGAGGTACGGGGCACACAGAGCAGGTTCACAGCCATAGAGAGTTTCCTGAAGAACTCTGTGGCAATGTCACCCAGCCCAGCCCCCTGCAGCCAGTCCAAGACAAGGTCCAGGTTGGTTCGGATTTGGACAGCTCGGGACCATTGATAGAAAGGTCGGCCTTGACCTGTGGGGGAATAACATGAGGGGTAATAGGTATGTGGATCCTGCCTTCCGGACCCCTTCTATCCTTCAGCCTGGGCTCCGGAGCTTATTTGATTTGATGTGGGTCTCAGTGGCACCTGCCTCCTTTCCCTTCCTTCCCCCTCCAACCCTCACCTCGTTCCATCAGAGAGTTGAGAAGAGATGCATTGGAGAAGAAGAACAAGTAGCCGAAAGTCTGAGACACGAGGTCTGGATGCAGCTCACACTGACTGGTCAGTTCGAGGGCTGCCTGGAACACGCCCAGTGTAGGTCTCAATCCTGGAGGCATGGCCCCCAGATCTGCCCCCGGCCCTGGCAGCTCTGCCCCAGCTGTGAAAGGGTTACTATCCAGGAGAGCAGGCAGTGTTGAATACAGAGTCTGAGAAGACAGAGCAAACAAGTGATCAGACTATGACTTCCAGAAAGCTTCAGGGTGATAGGACATGACGATAATGGGGAGCTACACCAAAGCCTTTTGGGAGTTGTTGTCCATTTCACTTTCAAAGCCCTAATGGTCTCCATTTGCAAATGTCCACTTTCCAGATGGATTTCTAGTATGCATCAGGCTCAGCAGGGACACTTCAAGTCTTAAAGCCTTTCTAGAAATTTCTCAGGCATGTCAAGACCCTCTCTGGTGCCTTACGGGACTTGTAATTCTCCATAGAGGTAGCTTAAGGAGGACAGAATACAGAACAATGAGAAACCCTTCATCAAAAATTATTTATCCAGAATTCCAGAAGGGAAGAGAAGAATGGAAAGTCAGGAAGTGGGAGTGGTGTGGCACTTAGCCAGGGAAAGTGAGATCAGAGCAAGGACAGGAAATGAGGTCAGAGCCGGAAAAGAAGTAAAACCACAGTTGGCAGGGATGTACAGGAAGTGAAGCCTTGGCGGCGAGGGCTTCACGGATAAGTGTTACTCCAGGAACACAGAGACTGTCCATCTCAAAAGATCCCACTTGGTTTTACAGACAGGGAATTGGGCCTACCACAAGCCAGAAACCCTGAGAATTCCAAGAAGCAATATTAAAGTCAAGGGTGGTGTTGGGGGCAGAAAGCAGGTCCTATGTGACAGGCAATCTAGGGAGAAAAAGATCTGTGGCTTAGAAAAGGAAGTGAACTCAGAGCTCTGGGAAATGAGATCAGGAAACAGGAAGTGAAGCATTGATTAAAGAGGACCTTTAATTTAAATAACAGCCACTAGCACTGCTTGCTCTAGGTGTATATATATATCTATAAATACACATATATGTATGTGTAAAACTTATCAGTAACAGAAGAGTGAACTTAACAAAAGTGGAGCTTGATAGTGGTGGTGAAATCAGCTGGTCAAGAGGGGAGAGTTTCAGAGATAGGAAAAGATGCCAGAAAGGGAGGGAGGAAGTGATACAAGCTAAAACAGGAAGTGGTGTCAGGATAGCAAAATATTGGGGTGAAATGGGAAATGACATCAGAGAAGCAGGAAATCTTGTGAGGTCAAATTGGACGTGACTTCAGAGCAAGGTGATGTAGTTAAAATAGGAAGTGATGTTATATCAAAGAGGAAACAAGGAGCAAGGCTGACCTTGGTGAGGTAGTAGACAGACTGCTGGAAGGTACACATGATGACCTCATCCAGGAGGGCCATGGCCTCATCACATAATTCCAAGTCATTGCAGAGCTGTAGGTCTGAGGACAGGCCTGGGGGTGAGAGAGAGAATCAAACGCTGGCAGGCAGGTCCCCAGGTGGAGGGAATGGCAAGGGGCTTGGACAGTCTTGGACCTGGGTCAGAGCTCACCCTCCTGGTCAGCCTCCTTTTCCATCTCTAGCACCTTCTCTTGCACAAAACTCAGCAGCTCTGTGGTATTGGCCATCCACAGCATGAGAGGCCGAAGCTCCACAGACACAGCCTCAGGGGTCAAGGGCACCTCAGGGACCCCCTCAGGGTGGCTGGGAAAGAAAAAGGGACTTGTAATTCCTGCCCAGAGCCCACCTAGTATCCACATCTGAGATCTGGCTCTAACTGGAGGCCCAGTTCAACCCCCATTTTACAGTTGAGTCCAAAGGAAGAGCAGAAGCTTAGGCCAAGACACACATGGAGTGAAGGCAGGACTGACTACAAATTCCAGCCCCCGCCTTCCTGTAGACCTTTCTCCCCCGGATTTCTCTTACTTCTCTGGCTGACGGTCTCCAATCTCCTTAATCTTTTCCTGTGGAACAATAAGATGAAAATCAACATAAGGGGAGCGAAGCCTATGGTTTAACTCCCTGTATTTTTCTCGAAGCAACTTTTTGACAGAAAACACTCTCCCTGCTTTTCAAATGAAATCTAATCCTCAAGCTCCCGATTGGTCTCTTCTTACTTTTAAACACATACACCCCTAAGATTAGGAGCGTCAGGTCCGCTTCTGCTCAAATATTTTCTTCTTGCCCCTAAGAAAATCCCTAAACCTCTCCAACTAGGTCTTCCATAGCATGAAACCTTTTCCCTCCACCCTGAATGGGTTCTTCCTGGCATTTCCAGGAAGGTTTGTTCTCGCCGCCCTGCAGGAATGGGCTCAGCCACTGTACTTGATCTTCAAGCCCAGTGAGCTGCCTGCCTCGCCTGTCCAATCGTCTCTTCCAATTTCTTATGCAGTAGGATCGCCCCCGCCCAGCTCCTCCAGTGGTTTCTAAAACATAAACCCACAGCTGCAAAGCCCACTCCCAGCATGCCTTGAGGCCCCTCCAGAGGCGTCCTGGGAGACATAGTTTCCTCGCCCGCAACTACCAAACCGGGGTCGACGGTGGCAAAGGGAAGGACTGGAGCGCAGGTGGGGCTGCGGGGTTTGGGTTCTCACCCAGACTGCTTCTTTGATGAGACGGGCCAGGCGGCCCAGCAGGCGCGGCAGGTGGCCCAGTTCCAGTTCCCGGGCTGAGTGCTGCACGCACAGCGCTAGCAGCGTGGCGGGCCCGAGCGGTGGCAGGTCCCCGGCGCCAGCAGCCGCGGCGCGCACGATCTCACCCAGCAACGCCTCTTCTTCGCGCGGCCGGAAACGCAGCACAGGCTCACGGCCGTCCAGGTAGGCAGCCAGCGCCTCGCCGCGCTCCTGCAGGCCACGGCCACACAGGCGGCAAGAGAAGGCCCAGCCCGGACCTGGGGGCGTGGCCCCAGGGCGCGCGGGCAACCATGGTGGCCGAGCCGGCCCGGAGCCCCCATTGCGGGGGTCCTTGTACATGAACAGGAAGTGCTCACCCAGCCCCAGGAGGTCGCCCGGGTGCAGCTCGGCCTCCCGCAGCAAGAGACACCCGTTGTGCGTGACCGGGGCTCCCCGGGATGGACGCACCATGGCTGGGGGCTCAGGGCCCGCGCGCACTGTGCAGTGACGTGGCAGGATGTCCGGGGCATTGAGAAAGGTGTCCACGTATGGGGCCGGGGATCCACCACGGGCGGAGGCGTTCCCTCCGCGGCCAAACACGTGCTGCTCTCGCGTCATCACATACACCACAAAGTCCTGGACAGAAAAGTGAAGATGCACAAAATGCGCCAGACGCTTCCAAAGACAGCTCATTCCACAATCGACTCTCCCATCCACACCTCCCTTGAAGGAACACGTCCAACAAAAACTCCTGTGATCCCAAAGGCTTCTCCAACTACATGCGCCCCTCTGTGGGTGGCCTCTGCAGTGACCCTCCCTATGGTGCACTGTCCCATGGCACCACCCTGAAGACTGGGTACTTACAAGAAAACCTCTTCCTTGACAGGGCGTCCCTCCCTCAAAGGACAGATGCTTCCCAGGAGCTCTCGCCTCTGAATGAACCCTTTCAAAGTAATCTCTTCCTACAGTGAGTTTCCATAGTCCAGCTCAAAGAATTGGTATTCCCAAGGACACCTCACTTCTGTTACCAAATGGACTGCTCCAAGGAACGGACCACACCCTCAAAGAATGGACCTCCAAGCAAACCCTTCTTTAAGGGACTCTCCCATTCCCCTTCCCCTGTCCCCACTAGTCCCTTCCTCACCCCCACCCCCATGGAGGCCTCCAAAGGCATTTGCCCTTTCCAAAATAATTTCTCTTAATAGTCCCAAAGCAAGGAATCAGTCCCTTTGAAGAAAATCCCCTTTGAACAAAGATTACTTCCACTATTTCCACCCCATGCTGGACTTACTGACACGGAGACAGTCCTACAGTGGACTGAGCTATTACTTCTGTTCCCATGATGGAGGATTCTAAAGACACTCTCCCTTCCTTTAATGACCCCCTTTATTCCTGTCCCCCAAGAGAACACCTCCAAGGAGATGTCAGTATGGTGAGTTCTAGTAACCCCATGTAACTAGATGTTCTCAAGGAGACCTTTTCTTATATTGGAGTGTCCTGTTTCATAGGCCAAATGAAGAGACGCATCCCAGAAAATCCCCTCCTAAAGTGGACTCTCCCATCTCTATTCTATAAAATGGAGGACCTCCTTCTGACCCCATTTCTAAAGCAGACTCTTCTGTTCTCCATTTCTGTGTGAGGAAATAGTTGTCCGAATGTACATAAATTCCCTTCTTACACTGAATTCTCCCTGTGTCTAGAAATGGACATGTCCAAAGAGATCCTTTCCTGCAGTGGAAGAGATTCTCACCTGCCTCTGGAAAAAGGGACCTTTCTGGTCTGACAATCTTCAAAAGGTAGATCCCCCATTTCCCCTATTTTTTTTTCTTTTTCTTTTTTTTTTTTTAAACAGAGGCATGTTTTTATTTATTTATTTGTTTGTTTGTTTTGTTTACACATGCACTGGGTACAGTCAGAAGAGCGGGAGGGTGAGAGAATTCACCAGAGCCAGAGCGGGGAGCAGAGCAGGCAGAAGGACCGAAGGACACTGCTGAGGGGAGCAGCGGGCGGCAGGAGAGGTCTGCGCGCCATGTGGGACCCTCCTCAGGTGGCCGGGGAGCAGCCGGGGATCAAACCGGCGCCGCAGAGGCTGCGGGCAGCTTCGCAACCCAGCGCTCAACCGCTGCGCCACCGGGGAGGCCCCATTTCCCCTATTTGGAAGAATGGAATGATCCAAAATACATGAAGCCTCTTTCTAAAATGAGCTCTCCTGCTCCTTAACCCAGGAAGGAATACATTCACAGTACCTATAATGAACAGTCGGGTAACCGCCATCCATGAACAGATGAGGGCAAATTCCTTTCTACAGTAGATTCACCTTGTACTTCTATTCCAAGGAGTGGACATGTCTAATGGAACCTGTTTCTTTTTAATATTATTTATTTATGCATACAAGAATAGGGGTGTAGGCCAGAGGTGCAGGGGGTAAGAAGATTCAACAGTCAAAGTGGGGAGCAGAACAGGCAGACTGACTAAAATACACTGCTGAGGGGAGCAGCGGGGAGACAGGAGAGGTCTGGGTTAGCTCCCTGGTTGGGGATCGAACTCAAACTGCACTGGCTGGTGATAGCTTGATAGCACTGAGACTTTAACCTCTGTGCCATCAGGGAGGCCCATGAAGCCTGTTTCTAAGAAAGGAATTTCTGGGCCTCCCTGGTGGTGCAAGGGGTTAAGCACCACACTATGGGGCAATCCACAGCCTCTGCAGCATGAGTTTGATCCCCGGCTGGCCGGGGAGAAACCCATGTGGCAAGGCGGACCGTTCTTGTCTCATCCGATGCTCCCATCAGCAGTGTATTTCAGTCCGTCTGCCTGATCTGTTCCCCGCTCTGTCTCTGGTGAATCCTCTCATCCCACACATGGCCTGTTCCCCAGCTCTTGTATGCATAATTAAATAAATCTTAAAAAAAAAAAAAAAGAAAGGAATTTCTTGTGAACCCCACCTGAAGAATGGGTGTTTCCAATGTTTCCCCGTCTTCCCACACAGCTACACTTCCAGAATAGATCCTTCCAATTTGACTACCTTCTCCAAATAGACCTTTTCACTCTCCAACATTGCAGACCCCTTTTCACAGCGAATGTACCCTGTCCCCATACCTCATGAAAACAGGATTACCCAGAACAAGGTCCTAGGTTTCAATCCAATCATCCCCCAGAAGGTAGACTTTTCCATTACTCCCTGTCAAGAAGCGGACCCTGCCAAAGAGCTCACCACAACAGACTCTTCCATTCTCCTTGAGGAACACTGCGCTTTCTTCCTCCCAACTTTGAATGAAATACACCGTTCCTTACTTGACCCTCCACTAATATCTTTTTCTGCCATCTGTCCTCCGCTTCCCCTCATCTCTGACAATGGTATCTCCTACTCTGGAGCCTTGCTGAGGCCAGCAAGGCTGGTCTTCCAGCGTACCTGAGACTACTGTGACACAGAGACTTCTGGAAGTTATCTTTTTTGGCACGCTTCAACCCACAGGGAGGCATAGGACTTGGCGTAGGGGTCTCTTGTAGAAGAGGCTGTACTTACCTGGGCATCTTGATAGCCCTGGAGCAGCAGGAAGTAGGGGTGATTGTTAGGAGCCTGGATAAGGCACTGGGTCAACTGATCGAAGTCTCCTGGGTCTACAGGTCCGATTTGGTTGTCAGCTGCCCCTGGGGCCATGCTCAGTGCCTGCTGCCTGCGCTCCTGCTGCCGCCGCCTCCGACCCTGCAAGCTGAGCTCTGAGACGCTGCGCCGTAAGGACAAGTTTTCTGAGCGTTCCTTGCCCCCAGACCCACTTGGGGGCCCGGATCCGGACCCTGGGCCAGGACTGGCTAGCGCAGCCCCGCCAGACGCAGCCCGGGAGCGGTTCTTTTGTGGCCGCCAAGAGGGGGCGCCCGTGCCTGCAGAGAGGGAAGGAGTTCCATGAGTTTGCGACTGGAAAAGACCGGAGACAGACTTAGAATTACAGAGTCAAAGACTTGGCTACAGAGAGATGAGTGCTCCCCAAACACGGGCTCTGGCATATGCTGATCCCACGCGTGGAACACACTTCCTGCCTGACTCCTACCCATCTTGCCAACTTCGACTCAGAAATATATTCTTTCAACCAGTATTTTTTTTTTTTTGAGCACCTCCCACGTGCCAGGTAATATTTTAGGCACTGGACACTTCACAGAGAGCAGAGAAGACCTGTTCTTAGAGAAGCAGAAACCACGTCCTTCTGAATACCCTTCCCTGACATTCCAAGTTGAATGACACCATTGGGCACTCTGGACCCAGAACAGCCCTGGCACATAGTAGGTGCCTTGTGGAAATGAGATGGATGAATGATGTTTCTTGCTAGACTGTAAAATCTAGGAGAAAAGGAGCCTCACCTGTTAATGTCCCCACTGTATTCCCCAAGGATCCTAAATAATGTGTGGCCCTGGGTCGGTGCCCACTGAATGCACTTGGGGGAGGAAGGGCAATGATGGCTAGAATGGCCATTCTTCATTAAGCACCTACTTTCTGCCACGCCTTGTGCTATAATCTTTTATATCCATGGGAGTGCCTATGCCAGCAGAGAGAAGGGGACACCCAGTCATGCACAATGGGCTCCTCCTGCTTGGGGAGGCTGAGCTGCACTTAGCTTCCCCTAGGATTTTGCTGCGTTTAACTGGCTCAGAATGGATCAGAATCCAAGCCTGAGTTCAAAACCCACGAGTTTAACTGTTACATCACTCTGTCTCCCCAAGGATGACTCAGAATCAGGAAAGCAGCTGGAGGCGCCCCCTACCAGGCTTGCTCTGCACTTGCCCTTTCATCAGGGAAACCACCTTCCGTTCCAGGCCAGATCTCAAAAACCAGGCCTCCTGCAGCTTCTACAGATACCTCTTCCTTTCCCATGCGCTACCCTCAAGCTCCCACAAACATTTCATGGCCAACCCAGCCTAAGGCCAGCTGTTCTTTTTTTTTTTTTTTTAAGATTTATTTATTTATTTATGCAAGCACTGGGTACAGTCAGAAGTGCGGGAGGGTGAGAGAATTCACCCGAGCCAGAGCAGGGAGCAGAACCACCTGTTCATTCTTCGGTTCTGGTCTAGCTTTGTTCCCGAGGTCTCTCACTTCTAAGCGCCATTCACACTAGGCTCTGCCACTCATGAGCCGCTTCTCCTTGCTGCCCCGCGACCCCCTGTCACCATCCAACACCCCTGGCTCCGGGCTTCTCCATTCCTCAGGCGAGGCCCCAGCCTCCCAGGCCCCACCCGGCGGGTCCCTCGGGCCCGGCCTCCCGCCCATTTGGGGTTTGTCAAATCAGCAGGCCGGGGCCCGCGCCGGCCCCGCCCCCGAGCCCGCAGCCCCGCCCCCGAGCCCGCAGGCCCCGCCCCGGCCCCGCCCCGCTCACCGTCGCCGTCCGCCGCGCCGAAGGCCTCCTGCTCCAGGCGGCGCGCCTCCTCGCGGCCGCGCAGCTCGAAGCGCCGCGCCCAGCCGGGCCGCGCGCGCCACAGCTCCTGCACCAGCAGCGGGCGCTCGGCGTCGCCCAGCACGCGCAGGTGCTCCGCGCGCCACTCGCCGCCGCCCAGGCCGCCCGCCGCGGGCCGGCCCAGCGCGTCGCACAGCGCGAAGGCGTCCGCGCCGCCGCCGCCGCCGGGGCCGCCCGCCAGCCCGTAGCGCTCCAGCGCCTCGGCCACCAGCTCGCGCGCCGTGGAGCGCGCCGTGGCCAGCACGCTCTTGTAGTTGGCGCCCGACGCCAGCCCCGCGCCGAAGATCTTGAGGACCCCCGGGGGCGCCGCGGCGCGCGAGGCCAGCGCGGGCTCGGGCGCCACGCCCGCCGCCAGCTCCGGCAGCTTCTTCTCGCTGGCCCAGCGCTGCGCGGCCCCGGGGGTGCCCGGGCCGCCGGACCCCGCGGCGCCGGTCCCGGAGCCCCGGAAGAGCTGCGAGATGCGCTTGGCGCGGCTCCCCGAGGCGCCCCCGGCCGCCTTGACCGCGCCCACTCGCCGCAGCTCCACGTGCGGCGGCGGCGGGGGCAGCGGCTCGCTGCTGCGGCTCCCCGTGTCGGAGGACGAGGACCTGGGAGGGCGCGGCGGGCGGACGCGGCAGGCACGCCGGAGCCGCGCGCCGAGCGAGAGGGGGAGGTGGGAGAAGAAAGGGGGGCACGGAGGCCCAGAGAAAGAGGGGGTGCGGAGAGCCGGAGGAGGGAGGCAGGTCCCCCCAGAAGGTTCCGAGGCGCGGGATGACAGAGATGGGGGGAGGGGCAGAGGCAGAGAGAGAAAGAGAGGGGAAAAAATAAGTAAAGGCGGGTCCCCCTGAAGGAAATTCCAGGAGGTGAGCGGGGAGGACAGGAAGGAAGGTGGATTCAGCCCCTGGTCCCTCGGTGTCTCCATCCCGGACACCGTCCGGCCTAAGCCCATGTCCAGGCCCAGCTCTCCCCCCTCCAGTCCCGTGTTGCTGTGGTTCACTGTCTCCTCCCGTTCACCAGCTCCCTTGCCCCATTCACGCGGGAGCCAGAGGCAACCACCTGGGGGCTCCTAGCCTTGTCCAGTTCATCAACTGGGTCATCAGCAGGGACAGGTGGGGCCAGGGCAGGAGGGCACTCACTTGACAGAGGCAGCGCTGGGCCAGCGCCGCCCCAGCTTGGCCAGTTGCTTCCTGGGAGAATTGATCCACAGACCCACCGGGAGATGGAGCTTCCCGAAGCGCGGGCTTCCGCCCTCTTTCCGTTCACCAGATAGCATGGCCCTAAGGGAAGATAGGTGAAGCCCCCCACTCCTGAAGTCTGGAGTGGTGGGGGTGGGTGGATCGGGGCCTGAGCACCGCAGAGCCCCCCCCAGATCAGCAGCCTTACTAGGTGACCCGGGCTTCTGAGTAAGAGGGAGGAAGGGGCAGGGGCCCAGACTCCCAGGCCGGGGTGGAGGAGAGGATGGGGAGCTGGACTCCCCGGTCTGAGGGAGGAGTGGGCTTTGGGGCCCCCTGCTCTTACCCTGCTTCAGGTCCCAGCAGCACCCAGGGGGCTGGCGCCGTTGGCCTGGGCTGGTTTCCCGACCCCACTGCTCCTGTTCAGCCTTTGCCTCTGCCCCAGCTGCCAGCACTGGGTGGGGGACAGGAAAAGGCAAGAGGAAACCCGGCAGGAAGAGCGGGGAGGGGGCGTCCTGTGAGGGGACTGGGCCTGGGGGAGGAGATCTGGGTAGGGCTGGCCCTGCTTACTCCTTGATTCTGGAATTACATCACAGCCAGTTGGTCCCTTCCAGGACCTGGGGAGGGAGACCTGGTTCCTGTCACCTCCTCCTTCAGAAAGGAGACCATCCCCAGAGCTCTCCTCTCGGGGACACAAAAGTGAGAATCAGTCTAGAAAAATGAGTCAGTTACTTAACTAGATACATTTTTTATTTTTCCCCTAAATCTTCTGACTCTTTCTTTGAAAGCTCAGGTTCATCATCCTCTTCACTGCCACCACCAAACTGGCAAGTCTTTATGAAATCGATGAACTTCCCAGAGTGAAAGTAAAGTATCCTGGGGGTACAAATAGGGGAGCCAGATTAGGTGTCAGCCGAGGGAGAGACACAACTTCCCAGCTCCCCTATATTTGACCTTCAACAATTCTCCAAGCTTCGCCCTTGGAAGTAAGCCCCACCTTGTTTCCTAAGTCTGGTTCGGATGGAAGTCCAGCTCTCAGTGTTCCAGAGCTCCCAGACCCCCTCCACCTTACGTGGTTAGGGGAAAGCCCGCCCCTCTCTGCTAGCCCTGCCTTCTTCAGAGGACAGCTCACGCGGTCGCAATGCCGGCGATCAGCACGACAGTGGCGCAGATCAGCAGCCCTACCAAGCGGCCTTTCAGCATATTCTTCGAAGATGGTGTCGGTGGGATCTGGGTGGTGGTGGTGGTGGCGGCGGTGGTGGTGTTGGGCTGCTGGGGGTTACCCACACCATCCGGGAACCCGTCCTTTGGCAAGTCGATGTCTACCGGAACCTCCGGGGTGACTCTTCTAGGCAACACTGATGAAGAGGAAAGGGAGCAGTCCCAGGAGGGGCGAAGGTGCCTCTCTGTCCAAGGCAAGTCCTCTGCCGCCCACCCCACCCCAGGACCCAGGACCTCCAGGTCCTCGTCATGCCTCCAATTGCATGAAGATGGGACACCCAGAAAAGGCAGTCTGTCACCTGGCCTGAGGCCACGCCCAGAGTGGGAAGCCACACCCCCGACCTGAAACCACCTCGAACCCGTAAATTGCGCCCCAAGAGGCCACGACCCCGAGCGAACCCCAGCCTCCAACCCCCAGAACCCTAGATCCCAAACTTCTCTCAACTCCCCAGCACTGACCTGTGACGCGAAAACCCATGAACGTGGCCTGGCCATATCCCTTGAGGCCCAGATCGCAGACGTAATAACCTGCATCACTCTTTGTCGCCATGGGCTTGGTCAGAATGGGGTTTTTCCCCTCGGACAAGAAGTTCTCAGTGTAGACGTGCGTAACCTAGACCCAAGCTCAAGGGGTCACAGATGCCTGGGGAATTCAGGGGGGGTGGTGTACAGGGAGGGGAAAATCACGGGGCCTCAGTAGGGAGAGGTGGGAGTCCAGAGAGCAAGGGTCAGGGCACAGGATGGGGGGGGGGCAGTAAAAGCCAACCTAGGTGATGGGGTCATGGGGGGGTCTGCGGTGCAGGCAGGTGGATACAGGGGCCAGGGGCTGGCAGGGACCTGCCGGACTTGCAGTTCTGGGGTTACAGGAGTCGGAGGGCCCCACCCTGAAAAATCTGTAATTCGTCAAGCCTTTAGAAAGTTTATGCCAGTTCAGCTCACAGTCCAGGATCAAGTCTTCCATCTCATGGATAGTGATTTTGCGCTCTGGGAAGGGGGAGGGGGGACAACCATTCTTGATCCTCCCCCAGCTTGTGAATTCTCCAGGCCTCTGTGACCTCTGGAGCTCGAGGTCTAGCTTTGGGGGAACAGTTCCACTTGGTCTCGACCCCACTTTTTCTTGCTGCGGTCTCCAGTCTCCCCCTTCTCTAGACTCCGTCCCTCTGGCATCCCTCCAGCCCTCCCCTGACTCCATTCCTCTGGCGCCAAGACCCCTCTCTCACCCCCGCAAAAGTCCTTCTTTTTGCAAAGTTGAAGTTTCTTCGTGCAGGTGTCACACAAGAGCAGAGACTGCAACATGAGACCTGAAGGGGCAGGGCCAAGGCTGTGCCTCATCCACTAAAAGGCGGGGCTCAAAGGAGGGCAGGGCCAAGTGCTGGTTGGAGCGGCCAGGGGCTGAATCCCGAGGAAGTCAGTCCCAGGGGCAGCTCTAGGCGAAGCGGGGTGCAAAGCAGGATGGAACCCAGCTCGGTGAAGCGTGCAAAGAGACTACGACCCGCTCCCCAAGAAGTGCGAAGTGCAGAAGAAATACTAGAATGAAGAGACTCGGAGACGCGAAAGGAGGAAGACACGGGCTGGGTACTCAGCGGGGTCAGGATGAGGGACAGAGAACCAAAATGCAAACTCACCACACTCGTTGGGACAAAAATCTGCCTCGGAAAAAAGAAAGAAACGAGAATCAGATTTCTGAGTTAAAGGGGGTGAGAGAGGAGCTGAAGGGAAAGGCTAGAGCTGGGTCCTCGTACAAGTCTCAGGGAAGAAGGCCCTGGACGCCTGGACCCCGGGGTCTGAGGGAGGAAGGGGTTGTGACACACGAAGGACCAAACTCAGAAAGGCAAAGGGCTGGGGACGGGGACTCGTGGGTGGTAGAAAAAGGGGACCGAGGCCCCAGACTCCCATCTTCCCTCACCTTCATTTTGGAACTGAATAGCAAGGCGGGCAAAGTTTTCCTTTCCCAGCTCCAACATCCAGGTGACTTCATTTGTTAAAAGCTCGCCTGGGAAGAGGCAGGATATTGCAGGCGCCCCCCACCCCTACCGCAGGTACAGTGAGTTTGGCCCTGTCTGCAGAGCCTTCTCACAAAAGGACAGTGCCATTGAATGACCACAGGGTGCTGGCCACTGGGTAGAAGCAACAAGTGGGATGAAGACAGTTCACTATGATCGTCATTTTCGAGATGAGGGAGTCGTGAAATCCCTCTCTCCAGGTCGGAAGAGGTAGAGCTGAACTTTGTAGCTAGGCAGTCTGCCTTCACCATCACCAGACCATCCAGGCATCACCAGCAATCACTTTCCTGGGAGACTCTGGGACACCACCATCACCCCCCCGCCCCCGCGCTTTCCACGAATTTACCACTTGCGCCACTGTCTGTGATGGTTTTCAGATCCTTCAGGAAAATCAAAACTGCCCTTTCCTGTGTGGCATCATCTGTGGAGGGAGATAGAACTCCAGATTCCACCATTACTGTCTTCTAGGCACCTAATCTTAGAAACCACAATTCCCATGGAGTCACTAGCAAGGACAGGCCTCGTTAAGGAATTACCCAGCAGTTCCGTTCTGGGAGTTGCTGTTTTATTACACAAAATTGCAAATAAGGGGAGAGAGAACACAGAATTTGCTAGCCTTGGGGAAATCTGGAATTTGCATCCCAGCTCTCTATTCCAGAACTCTGGAGCCTCGGCCTCCAGCTTTCCTCCCTGCACCCAGTCATCCTAGTCCCAGATTCTTCCTTTGACAGGACCTGGGAGTCCGAGTTTGCAACTGCTCTCACTCACCAATGGCCCTCATAGAGACATTTTTGTTGATTGGCCAGTCCTTGTAATCCCTCAGCATTTCCTTTACGTCGTCCATAAATGGTTTGTGTTTATCTGGAGGCAGGTGACGAGGCAGGTACTCCCTCTCCAGAGACTGTATCGCCTGCTGCACCCTTTGATCACAAATGACACAGCCCGGGGCCGGAAGCACGCAGCTGGCCAGCGCCGCCACCAGAAGGGGAAGCCTCAGCCCCATGACGGCCAGAGCGTGGCCTCCGTGCAGACCCCCCAAGGAGGGTCGTCAGACTCCAAATCGAGAGGTGAATGCTAAACGGAGAGAAGCTCTTCTCCGTGACCACAGGCCCCTACTCCCCAGCAAACCCAGGAGTCCTGGTGCACCTGCAACAGCCGCTGAGCCACCTTGATCCTGACTGTTGTTCTTTCCAACACCAGGGTTCGCTCGCGAGCCGAATCCAGGTCCCGAGGGCTTTTGGAGAGGACGTGGGCTAACTTCTGCTTTCTCCCCCGACCAAAATTAAAGATTTTGTTGGGGGCGAGGGTGAGGTTGGCTGCGCGGTATAAAGAGCTTTTGCACTGGGGTCAGGTCATAGTTCGCCTGGGTACCAGAACCTCCCACGATCGCCACCGTCTATGCCGAGGGGAGCCCGAATTCCCGAGAGATAAAACCCCTGGGTTTCCTTGGCCCCGCCCAGAATCCCGACTCTCAATCTGATTGGACCAAAACAAAGGGAGGACCCGCCTATCGCTCCTTGATGTCACAGAGTGGGGTCGCCTTTTCAGGCTGGCACAATACTAGCATCTACCCCAGGGAAGTACCCTGTCTGCTCCGGGTTTCCAGAGCCGAGGGACGGGCTTCGGACCCTCGGTTTCCTCCCCAGCCAGAGCGCGAGGACCCAGGCTTCCGGCTAGACGCCCACGGCCCTTTGGAAACCCTGGCGTGCAGCCACAAAGGTGTGGGGAGTAGTCCTTTCTAGCCCTAGGACTCCCAGAAGACCCCGTGGTCTCTCCTTGGGGTGTTCCCACCAGATTAGAGCAGCAACCCTATAACTTTGCGGGAAATGTAGTTCAAGAATTATACTCTTTGCTCACTCCCTATTGCATCTTCTTTCCCCAGCTTATGGAGCTGGGTGCCAAGATCCCATGGGAAAGGGGCCTGATACGGTGGGTCCCAGCGAAAGGAACTGGGTTCCAGAGCTTTGAGTCGTAAATGTTCTCTCTTTTTATCTTTCTGCACCCTGAAACAGGTGACTAGAAAAATTACTCACACACAAGAGGATGCCAGGTCCGAGCTGGGCCAGTACCTGCAGACATGAGTAACAAGTCCCTGGACATTGAACATCTTTCCTCTTACTCACACAAGCACACAAGACTCAAAAAACCTGCAGAGACAGGGTTGGTCTGTGGCCGTTTTAATGCATACCTCCTCCCCTGATCTGTGGGAGCCCAGTGGGGAGTGGTTCCCCAAAACGCCCTGCAAAGACTAGATGAAGGGGTTCATATTCTTTAGATGGGCATATAGGGAAGACGAGGACAGTTGATGTAACAAAAGTGTCTTCCTGGGCCTCCCTGGTGGCCTAGGAGTTGAGTCTCAGCACTGTCACCTATGCAGCCTGGGTTCAATCCCCAGCCGGGGAGCTGGTCCATGTATGCTGTGGCGGACCTCTCCTATCTCACCCACTGTTCCCCTTGGTGAGCTTCAGTGGATCCACCTGTTCTGTTCACCACTCTGTCTCCGGTGAATCCTCTCATCCCTCCCTTCCCCGCACCTCTGGCCTACACCCCAGTTCTTCTATGAAAAAAAAAAAAAAAAAACCCTCTCTTCCTTCACTTTTTTTTTTTTAATATTTTATTTCATATCTTCCTTCACTCTTAAGAAATGTCAAAGGACTCCTGAAATGACTCAAGAATCCAATTCTTGGTCAGACCCTGTGCTCCTGCCTGGGTTTGAGGCTAGCTCTGGGGTCTCTATACCTTTGGGTCCTCTCATTCCTGACTTGTCAGAAGCCACATGAAGGGTTTCTATGAATTCAGAGTCAGACAATGGTTGGCAAGGAGCACCTGTGACTTTCTGCAAGCCCAGAGGACACATTTGTGGAACTAGCTTCTAGAAAATGACCCCCCCTACTACCCACCCCCCCACCCTCCTAGCAGTCCAAATGTCCAGGAGGAAATTTCCTTCATGAGAAAAGAGAACCCAAACTCAGAGCCAACATATGCAGCATCCAACTGTCTCTGGTGATTTTTGACACACGCAACCGTCTTGAGTTTTTGATGTTAAAAGCCAAAGTGTCCCAGGATTTCTAGAAAGTCTTGCTTCAGAGATGGCAGCCTTTCTGCAGCCATCCTTCTCCCTGCAAAAAGTCTTTATGATTTTCCCCCCATGGGTTAAACGGTTGTACAGTCTTGCTCACACCCAGCTCCTTTGCTACAGAGTCTGCCTTTCATGTCTCTCTCTTTCTGGCGATGGAGAAACACTGAGCTTATTATGGCTGTGCCTTCATACGTTTCTTTTCTGAAGCTATCTGGTAAGCTAGACCCCATCTGGTCTGCAAGGGCCCTGCAGAGGTCTTCACAGGCATTTGAACCAGTCTCTGTGGAGCAAATCCCCCTTCTAGAATCACTCCAGAAATACAGACGGGGCATCGGTAGAAGGCACCTTGCTCTACAACATCTATGAGTTCCGTGGGAACCAGGGTAGAAGAAATATCTCCTCTAGGAAAGGTTAAAGCGGAGTGGAGACAAGTCTGCATTAATGCCCACCCACTCAGGGAGGAAGGCAGCCTCCGGCTTAAAGATCTTCAGGAACTCGGAGGTGGGCAGGGTGAAGTTGGCCAGGTACACGGTATCTCCACCTGCCAGGTAGGCAGCCCAGAAGCCAAAGGTGCCAATGGTCATGATGGTGTGGTTACACTGTGTGAGCAGGGCAAAGTCCTTCCCCGGGGATCCTTCATGGCCATTGCCAGCAAAGACCACATCCCCCCGGGAGGTATCGATGTTTTCTTGGCACCACTGCATGCCGTTGCTGGTGACCACAAAGATGGGGGCTTCGTGCCGTGCCCGGAACCAGTCCATGGCCTGCTGGAGGTAGGCACGGTCACCCACCACACCCTTCCAGCGCTGGGGCATGACTTGCAGATAGTCTCCCCGGCGCACGTGGACTCCCACGAAGGTGCGTGGCCGGTCTCCTGTGCGGCCCAGGCGCAGCTGCCTCAGGAAACCCTGGGCCTCCTCCCGCACGTGGTTGTGCAGGGTGAACTCGCTGCGGATCTGCTCCCGGAGGTGGTGGAAGAAGGTCCAGGAGCAGGGGAAGCCAGTGAGCTTCAGCACGGGATGCGTCAGGTGGGCGTAGTCCTCCGACATCCAGTCGTGGAGCTCCAGCTCCTGCCAGGGCGTGGACTTGTCCACCTCGGGCGCCAGCACTGGCAGGGAGATGCGGAACATGGGGGCCAGGGTGGCGTGCATGGCAGGCAGGATGAAGGCCCGGCGACCGTTGAGCCGGGCCAGGGCCAGCAGGGTGGCGTACTGTCCCATCTGATTACCGAACCGACCCTCTGGGTGGATAGTCCAGGTGCCTGAGAGGGACGCAGGGTGTTCGGGACAGGAGAGAGAGGTGTTGGCTGCCTTCGGTGTGCCTGACAGGCAGAAGATGGCCACCCGGGTTGTCGCACTACAAGCACACAGGGTGAACAGGTTCAGGCTACTGTAAAGGAGAGCTTCGTGGACGTGGAGGAAGAAGAAAACTGAGAGAACACAGACTAGCAGGAAGGCCAGACACAGGCGCCGGTGACTGGGGGCCCACATGGCTGCAGAGGGGGAAAGGTAAATTAGCAGATTCTCCAGAGCCTAGGGAGGACCCTTAAGACGAAGGGCAGGGAGCAGGAGCCTGGGGGCCAGGATGCTCCCTCCCGGGGAACGAGGAAGCCAAGGGTTTGGACGCAGGGTCTCAGGGAACAGGAGGTCAGTATTCAGGACTCCTGGATCTGAGGGAGGAGAGGCAGGAGGCCTGTTGTTCCAGAGGATGCAACCTGTGTTTTGTTTTGTTTTTAAATATTTTATTTATTTATACAAGCGCTGGGGTGTAGGCCAGAGGTCGGGGAGGGGTGAGAGGAATCACCAGAGACAGTGGGGAGCAGACAGGCGGATCTTCTGAAATCCACTGCTGAGGGGAGCAGCCGGGAGCCAGGAGAGGTCTGCTGCGCCCTGTGGGTCAGCTGGCAGGGGATGGAACTCTTGCTGCAGCAGTGGCTGCCCATAGCTTCATAGTGCTGAGACTTAACCCCTTGCACCCCCCGAAATCTGGTGTTTGCCATAGTGCAACATCCCAGGAGCCACACAGCTCCCCACATCCTGGAATCTCTTCCCACCTGTGAGGCTCGCTGGAATAAGCCGCGGTTCCACCAGCTCCTTTCCCAGGCGGCCCTGTGGGAGGGGCAGAGTCCTCCACAGGTCACTGGAAGCTACAGGCCGAGCAGACCGTGAGCGGCTGGGAGCCCCCGCCTTGACGGAGGGACCCCAAGTGACTCAGGAGCAGGGGCTGGGGGCGGAGGGGCCTCGCGAGCGCCTTAGGTGAGAGGCTGGAGGAGGCCTCCAGGAACCGACGGCCGAGATTCCTGAGCCCAGGCACGGGCAGTCCCCACTCACCTGAGCAGACGGGGAGCAGCTCCACGTGCGGCTCGGCGCGCCCCAGCGCGCAGCCCAAAGGGCAGCCCGCCCCGGCCGCCGCCGGAACCCCAGGCCCGGGGATCCCTGGCTCGACCGCGGCCGCCCCGCGCCACCGGCCGCACGGGCTCCCGGAGGCGGGGAAGGAAAGGGGCGCGGTCTGCATCCGCGGCCTCCGCCCTGCCCGGGCCAGCCAGGTAACTCCGCGGCTGGGCCCGCCCCTTCCCTGGCGCCGAGCCCGGGGCGCCCCGGGACAGGGTGGTAGCTTCCTCCCCCTCCCCCCGCCGCGGCTCCCCCGGAGAGCTGCCGCTCCGCGGCCGGCCCCCGCCTCCGCGCGCCCGCCCCGCGCCCCGGCCGGGGAGGCTCCGCCGGCGCCGCCCGCCTGGGGTCCTCGCGCCGCATCCCGCCGCCAACTTGCGGACCGAAGCGCAGCGACCGGCCGGGCCCCGGGAGCCGGGTCCGCGGGCTCCCCGCTCCGGACCTGCGCCCCGGTACCTGGACGCGCCGGGCCCCGCCGCGCCCCAGCCGCTGGGCGACTCGCGGGCCGGGCGGGGGCGGGCGATCCTCGCGCCCGCCGCGGCGAACGGGCGGCACAACCTGTTTGCCTGGCAGCTCCCGGAGGAGGCGCCTCCCCCTGCGCGCAGGGTCGGGGCCTGAGCGCCTCCATCCCGAAGGCGGCCCCGAGCCCCCCAGGGGCGACAGATCCCCCGTCTCGCGGGTCCACCCGCGAAATCCAGAGCCCCGACCCCAACCTCTCTTTTGGGGGGCTCTCGGGGCGAGTGCCTGGCGGCTACGTTCTGGCCGGCACTTCCTGGAGGCCGCCTGGCCCGAGGAGGGGAGGGGGCGCTCAGGGAGCCCGAGTGGAGGAGACTTGATCCTCCCGGCCTGGCCCGAGGCTGCCTACCCGGCCCGGGCCCTCCGCTCTGCTCTCGGCGGCCCCGAGGTTCTTTCCATTGCGGACGCTTCCCAGTCCCACCCCAGACCCGGCCCCGAAGTCTGGTCATTGTCTTTCCACACGCCAAGGTCAAAGACGCAGGCATTTGACTGGGCCAGAAATTGTAGAGACTCGGGACTTTGAAGGCCCCAGGCCCTCCTCCCTCAGACCCGGGAGTTCAGGCCCCGGCCGCCTCTGTCAGCCCGGGGAGTCCAGGCCCCCTCCTCACCGAAGCCCGCGGCCTAGTGTGTACTCTAAGGGATTCCAGGAAAGCGCCCAGCCTCTTGTTCCCGGGACACCTGGGTCTAACCTCCTGCTCCATGACTGGCTAGTTGCCAACCCTGAGTCAGAATTTCCCATTCCCCCCTCCCCGGCTATCTTGGGAGATTCTATCTGGGCCTGAAGTAGCTTCTCTGGTGAGAGGAACAGGACTGTATCAGAGAGAAGGAAGAGGCTGGGACATTCTGTCTCTGGGCCCTGGGGCAGGGATGGGTGAGGTGGAGACTGATTCTTGGTCAGGTGAGAAGCTGACAGGCCAGGACACCAGTGTTCCTTTGAGGGCTCTTCTGTCACGTGGAGTTGCTGCTTTCCTGCTCATCAGGGACCTCAGTGTCTGACTCGAATGGGATTCAGAGCCGCCCTGGTGGCACAAGGGGTTAAGCACCGCACTATGAAGCAATCCTCGGCCTCTGCAGCAGCAGTTCAATCCCAGCCTCTGCAGCAGGAGTTCAATCCCCGGCCGGCCAGGGAGCAACCCACATGGCACAGCAGACCTCTCCTGACTCACCCTCCCCTCCCCTCAGCAGTGTATGTCAGTCAGTCTGCCTGTTCTGCTCCCCACTCTGTCTCTGGTGGATCCTCTCACTCCCTGCATCTCTGTCTTGTATCCCAGCTCTTGCATGTGTAAATAAATAAATCTTTTTAAAAAAAAAAAATGGGATTCAGACATTCTAGTAGTGAGGCACAATCTACATCACTCCTCAGAGGTAGAGGCTTTTCTCAGACCTGGGAGTCCAGGCCCCAGCTCCTCCCGGCTCAGGCCCAGGAGTCCAGGCCCCCACCCCCCTCTTTTCTCAGATCCCAGCCTCCTCCTCCCTCACACCAGGACTCTGGGCCCCCAGTCACTTTCTCTCTGGTTCCGGTTAATCAGATCCTCCTTCCCTGATCCCTCAGAGCCAAGAGTCCAGGTCCCCAGATGAAAGGACCCCCTGATTGCATCATCCGTTCAGGTTGACCTGGCCACGGTGGAATCCCAGCTCCTGCCAAGTGGGTCAAATATCATGGGTCAGGCGTGGAGAAGGTGATTGGGCGGGTCTGTCTAGATATAAATTCTGGAACTTCTGCATCCATCCCAAGAGACTTGGGTGTACTGTCTGCTGGGAATCCACATACAGGAGGACCCAGGCATCCAGGTGACCGGATTGGCCACTGTGAATCTGCTCTCCCAGCCAAACAGGAGCTGATAGAACCTATATCCCTGAGCACTTCAAAGCTCAGACCCCTGATCTTGCCTGCGGATGGGCTGGGCCGAGGCCAGGTCTGAGCACCAGGGACTGTGGGTCCCTGTGCTGGTCGCCCTTCTGCTGGGAGCCTCCCAGGCACACCCCATCCCTGACTCCAGTCCCCTCCTCCAATTCGGAGGCCAAGTCCGGCATCGGTACCTCTACACAGATGACGCCCAGAAGGTAGAGGCCCACTTGGAGATCAGGGCCGACGGTACAGTGGTGGGAGCTGCCCGCAGGAGTGCCGAAAGTGAGTTAAGGGCCAGGACCTGGCCCTGAGGGAGGAGGGGCTGGGACCTGGACTCCTGGGTCTGAGGGAGGAGGAGCTGGAGGCCTGGACTGCAGGATGATAGGGAGAGGGTGCTGGGAAAAGAGCCTCTGAGTCCACGGCCACTTTCTCCCCTCAGGTCTCCTGGAGCTGAAAGCCCTGAAGCCAGGGGTCATTCAGATATTCGGTGTGAGGACATCCAGGTTCCTGTGCCAGGGGCCTGACGGGACACTGTACGGCTCGGTGAGCTCCTGGGATGCCCCTCCTTGCCCTCCACCCTTCCTTCTGTTATTTACCCTCTCTGAGACCCTTTCTCCCTGGGTCAGGCTTAGGCATTCGGTCTTTTGCCTGCCCTGCCCACCCCTTACAGACCCTCTGGACATAAAATCTGTTGTTCCCTATGTTTTCAGGAAGAGGGAGGCTCTGCTTGGGACACCACTGTCCCCAAGCCCCAAGTCACTGGGCCTATAAATAGCTGGTGACCTGACAGGTCGACTTTGTTGACTTACAAGCCCTGCTGACCCCACATGAGCTCCCATATGCCTGGCTCATGTTGGGCACAGATCACTGAAGGAAGTCAAGGCCTGTAAAGTGACCATGACCTTGGGTGGTAGTCAGACACCCCTGCCTGGCCTTGGAGAGTTTTGACTAGTCCCAGGGCTTGAATGTTTCTCTCTGTGAAGTGGAGACAGGGAGGTGTTGTGGGGAAAATTCGGAGCCTGCTTTTCTGGTTTTGTATGCTGGGAAAGGGGCTGGAATCCTGGGGTCTCCGGGAAGACTTTGCAGAGCTATCCTGTGTCTCATCTCTGTTCTTGTGCCCTCAGCTCCGTTTTGATCCTGAAGCCTGCAGTTTCAGGGAGCTGCTTCTCGAGGATGGATACAACATTTACCAGTCAGAGGCCCTGGGCATCCCGCTCCGCCTGCCGCCACACAGCTCTGCATCCCGGGAACCAGCCTCTCGGGGACCTGCCAGATTCCTGCCACTGCCAGGCCTGCCCCAGGCCCCTACAGACCCTTCGGGCATCCTGGCCCCCGAGCCTCCCGACGTGGGCTCCTCAGACCCTCTGAGTATGGTGGGGCCTTCGCAGGGCCGAAGTCCTAGCTACACTTCTTGAAGCCAAGCCACAGTCTCTTTGCTAGTGACTCTCTTCTTTATTTATTGGGTTATTTATATTATTTATTTTTTATTTTTCTTACTTGAAATAATAAAGGGTCTGAGAGGAGGATTGCATGAGTGTATGTGAATGTTTATGGGAGGGGATGGGACCTGTTTTCACCTCTTCATTGACCCCCAAAGTCCCTACCCAAAGTCCCCTCGATATTAGGTTATTAGAGGTCCTATCTTCTTCCTAGAGCCCAGCTTTCTGCCCCACTCAGGCATCCCCAGGGACACTGGACTATCTCTGCTCTTTAACAGCATCAGCCTTGTTATTCCCCCTCTGTCCCCCACCTCCTGTTAGCACTACGGAACTGTAGCTCAGAGCTACTTCAATAGCAGGGAACTTTTAAATATGTGACATGCAGGCCCACAGCCTCGTGAGAGATGTAGTTTTCGGGGTTCATTTAGCACTAGGGGTGGTTCTCAGCGATGGGGCAACGACTCCTGGATCCTGGGCTACAATTGGTGCTAAGAGGGCACTCCTGGATCCCAGTGGGTCAGAGACCTGGGCGCCTGGACACCTGGATCCCAAGAGAACAGGGGAATAGGAATCTGGACTCCTGGGTCTGAGGGAGGAGGGACTGGAGAATGGGAGCTCTGAGTCTCGGGAAGTAGACTGGGAAGCTGGATGCTTCCATCGAGGTGCCATCCCGGACTTTGGAGTATAAGCACCATCATCGAATCAGCCCCAAGAAGCTGCCTCTTTTCCCACAAGGGAGAGCTCCCTACTGCTCTTCCAGTTATTTCGTGGTTGGGAGAGACCTGAAGGCAAAGACTTGTGAGACACACTGCACCTCCTGCGAAGCCCTGGGTCAGCCCTGGCTGAGCACTCCCTGGGCCCCGTCTGGGGCCTGGCCACGGTAGCCCCATGGGATGGTGCTCCCGACCCTTCTGTTAATTCCCAGGCATGAGCAAGTGGGCCATGGTAGTGAAACAGGATGGAAGTGTGTGACCCAGGGAAGGGGTTCCCCTGCAGAGGAAATGACCCGAAGAGAAGGAGGCAGAGGCACAGAGAGGGGAGGGACACGGGCACAGTAATGGGGATATAGAAACCCAGAGACAGTACAGAGATCCGAAGAGGGGGAACACAGCCCGAGAGAGGAGGGAGCTAGGACCCCAGAGAGAGATGGACAGAGACCCAAGAGAGAGGGTACAGAGACCAGGGACAGAGGGAGGCAGAGACCCCGAGAAAGAGGGGAGACCAGAGAGATAAGGAAAGGGACTGAGACACAGGACGAGACAGATTCAGAGAGAAGAAGAGAAACCCAGATATGGGAGGACAGAGACCGAGAGAGAGAGAGAGAGAGAGAGAGAGAGAGAGAGAGAGAGAGAGAGAGAGAGAGAGAGAGAGAGAGAGAGGAGGGAGGGAGAGAGAGGAGGGAGGGAGGGACAAAGATGAGGTAGAGACAGGGAGACAGAGATCCAGAGAGCAGAACAAGGATCCAGAGAAGGGAAGTTCGGAAAAAGAACCTGCAAAATACACTCTAAGGTCCACTGTCCCCCCTCTCTGAGGACTTTGAACTCTCAATCCATTGAGCTTGCTTTCTGGGAGAAGCCCCTCTCCCCCATCTGGGGAGGACAGTTAGTGTCCCCTGTGAGGAGAGCCTCCCCTGAGGTTCTGCCTGGCCCAGGCTGGTGGTGTTTCCCCAGATCCAGGTCACCTCTCAGTGCTTCTAGACTAAACCCAGATCTCAACTCCCTGCAGGTTCCACGGGACATGGGTTGGGGGCGGCAGGGGGTGCAGTGTGCAAAGTGTAACTGGGGAGCTGCTACAACAGGGACCAAAAGATCTGCAAGATATGACCCTTGAATTTGACAGTGATCTGGGGGGGCATCCTGATTGATGAGGTTGCTGGGAGAGATTCCAGACTCTAGCAGGTTGGTTACCCCACTTTGTTCTTTGCTGGACCAAGACCTGAACCCCAAGGGGCTACACTTGGTTATGCCCTAGAGTGGTATTCTCTCTTTAAAAAAAAAAATTATTATTATTTATTTATTTATGCATATAAGAGCTGGGGTGTAGGCCAGAGATGTGGGGGGTGAGAGGATTCACCAGAGACAGAGTGGGGAGCGGGACAGGCAGATCCACTAAAATACACTGCTGAGGGGAGCAGCAGGCAAGTCAGGAGAGGTCTGCGCGCCATGTGGGACCCTCCTCTGGTGGCCGGGGAGCAGCCGGGGATCAAACCAGCGCTGCAGAGGCTGCGGGCAGCTTCGCAACCCAGCGCTCAACCGCTGCGCCACCAGGGGAGGCCCAGCTTGTGTTCTTTTGTCAAATCATTTGCTATGTAAATGTCCAGCCTTTGTCTGGGCACTCTGACCTGCTTTACACTGCACCTCATTCCCTGGAAGCCCCACCATTTTGCTCGAAATGGCTACTTTTCGTCTTTCCAGAGTATGACTAGACCCCATATCCTCCATCCAACCATCTGTGACGGGCCTCTAGGCTGTTTCGGCGTCCCAGCTATTACAAACACTGTAGCGCTTACAGATTTTGCCTTGATGGTTTCATATTTTCACCGCCCTCCTCTTAAAAGCACACTGGTCACAGAATTTAGGACCAAGCTAATCCAGAATGATCTCATTTTTTTATGGAGGTGACGTTAGCTTATAACACTGTTCTGGTTCCAAGGTTACCGGATACACACCCGCTACCAAAGGTCCAGGCACCATCCACCACCCACCAATCTTAGCTTGATTACAGCTGTAAAGACACGTGTTGCAAATAGGGTCAAGGTTGGCAAGTTCAAGCAGATACGTGGTCTGGGGGGACACTGTTGCTCTCACGGCCATCACCACCACACAGGTCTTCAACCTTACATTGCAGCTCATTTAGGAATTTCCTCAGTCAGGGTAGATGTCCCAGTTCTTTTTTTTTTTTTTTTTTGTGGGACCCTTGCTGGCGGCCGGGGATCGAACCGGCGCTGCAGAGGCCGAGGGCAACCTCAGCCCAGCGCTCAACCGCTGCGCCACCAGGGGAAGCCCAGATTTCCCAGCTCTTAAAGTTCACTCTTTGTTGTTTTCCTATGGTATTAAAAACCCAATCTCTCAGCAGGCCACCCCGCCAATAGTTCAGAGAGATCTGCCTCTTCTATTTCCTCCCCCACCAGCAGTTGATCCTTCTTACCCTCTACCCCACAGTTCCCGCCAAGATCAATCTGGGTTTGGCTTCTATTCATTTTCATTGAAGGCAGCTTTGTCCTACCCCACTGAAAAGAAAGGATGCTTATGGGACAGACAAGACGGAGGTATTTTTTTTTTTTTTACGATTTATTTATTTATTTATACAAGAAACAAGGTACAGGCCAGATTCACGGGATGATGAGAGAGGACTCACCAGAGACAGAGTGGGGAACATAACAGGCAGACTGACGAAATACACTGCTGAGGGGAGCAGCGGGCGAGACAGGAGAGGTCAGCTGTGCCATGCGGGACCCTCACTGGCCGGCCGGGATCGAACCGGCGCTGCAGAGGCGGCGGACAGCTTCACAGCGCTGGGCTCAACCGCCTGCAGCACCAGGGGAGGCCCAAGACGGAGGTATTAATTCTCACTCCTATGGCTACAATGACAAGCACATCACAAAGGATAAATGTACCAAATGCACTTGTACTTTCCACTTACTCAATGTCAAACCCAGATGTACAGTTGGTTCTTGGACAATATGCATTTGAGCTGGGAGGGCCACGGGTCCACGTAGACACAGTTACAATCATTGAGTCAACCAATGGCCAATGCAGTCTGGTTGGCTTCGATGATGTGAAACTGTTACAGGGCATGGTGAGGGGCACCCCAGAACCCCCTAACCTACCTGCTCTAAATAGGTTCTGCCATTGCCACATCAAGTCAAAACGTATTCTAGGGCCTCCCCGGTGGCGCAGCGGTTGAGCACTGGGTTGCAAGGCTGCCCGCGGCCTCTGCAGTGCCGGTTTGATCCCCAGCTGCTCCCCGGCCACCTAAGGAGGGTCCCACATGATGCGCAGACCTCTCCTGATGCCCGCTGCTCCCCTCAGCAGTGTACTTCGGTCCTTCTGTCTGCTCTGCTCCCCGCTCTGGCTCTGGTGAATTCTCTCACCCTCCCGCGCTTCTAACTGTACCCAGTGCATGTATAAACAAAACAAACAAATAAATAAAAAAAAACATGCCTCTATTAAAAAAAAAAAAAAAAATTAAAAAAAAAAAAAAAAAAAAAAACGTATTCTAGTGCATAAGACCTTCAATGAAAAAGAACTTTAATCTTTTTAAAGATTTATTCTATTTATACACCCAAGAGCTGGGGTGTAGGCCTTAGGTGCGGGGGCGGGGTGAGAGGAGTCACCAGAGAGAGTGGGCAGTAGAACAGGTGGGTCTACTGAAATACACTGCTGAGGGGAGCAGCGGGGAGACAGGAGAGGTCTGCTGCACCCTGTGGGTAGCTCCCTGGCCAGGAATCGAACTCGTGCTGCAGTGGCTGTGGATAGCTTCATAGTGCTGAGACTTAACCCCTTGTGCTGCCAGAGAGGTCCTGCTTGGGGTATTTTTGTGGGCAGTGTGGGAGTGGCATTTGGGAAGATAAGCAACTGCGCTGGGTGGCAGCAGGGGCAAGCTCACAATGAAGCCTCGCCAGTGAGGAGATGTTGCAGACCCCTAAGGCATGAGGCACTGAGGCAAGGAGAATGTCAAGGTCATGACTGGAACACTGGCCCGTGTTAAGACCATGACGTCCTTTCTTGGGTCAGCAAAGCTAAGCCTGAGAAGCAGGCCAGCGTAGAAAGGGAGTAGAATATACCTGATAACGCAGAAACTTAGAAGTGAACGTGCTCAGGGACAAGGCTAAATGCTAAGGGAGTGATTTCTCATCTAGTAACTAACAAGGAGGGGGCGGTTTGTATCAATAAAAATGAGTTGCACCGGGCGCTCGGGACGCTCGAGCACGAAATGAGAGGCCTGGCGACCCCTGGGCCCCGCTTCTCTGAAACTCTACTTTGTGTCTGTCACTTCTTTATTCCTCGGTTCTTTCGGATTCCCCTCTCAACCCTGTTCACCAGCAAGTGGTGCCGGAACAGGGACTTGAGGGAGGAT